AGACGTGTTTCTTCATGCATCGCTGTTCGCAGTGGTCCTACATTCTACTGAGCCGACGTCGTTCTCGCTCTGTATTCTGACTATCATTTTGACATAAAGATCACTTATTGCTGCTTGCTGTCTCTGTCTTTTTTCCAAATTTCATCACTTTCTGACCACTCCTTCTTGGTGTTGCATTTTTAATGTTGAGCAGTGTATTTTCGAATAACTAAATAAGAATTTCCCATAGCCAGTCTTGAATTTACTGGTATTAATTCTTTCGGAAAACAAAAGTGATTTTTAGAGAATCTACTAAGAGAGTTACATCTTTAATTTCTCTATAAGAGAAATAAAAAAAAGTGTTAAGTAAATTGGCATTATTAATTAATACCAGTGTGTATTATTTAAATATACACAGAGGCGAATTTATGGGATCGAGCAAGTCGCAGTTGAGAAAGATCGCAAAATGATTAGTTAAATGTTAAAAGATATTTTAAAAATCATTTGTGTCTTAGAATGAACAGCCTGCAAAATTTCTGGTGAGGTGGGTCCCCACTACATAAATCTCCTTCTGAATTTATGGTGAATTGTGTTTCTTTTCATTGTTCCCTCTTTAGCTGTAGAGAAGGGTTCTTTTAGCATAAAAATCTCAAATGTATATAATGCAATCCTTTCAATGTAACCATAATACTTTTCTGAGAATTGTGTTTGAGAGCCTTGATCAAGGAGACTTTAGCATTCATTCTGTGAAATTAAGGAAGGGCAGAAAAGTAAAGTAAATGGCAGCATAATAAAATTAATGTAGTACTATTCAAGAAGAAAAAATCAAGACCAACCTATAATTCAGCCTCAAAAAGTCCTTTAACAAATCGATATCGATAATTGTCAAATACTTTGAAATCATTCTATATAAAACTCAGCTAAAAAGAATGCTGACTGCTTGCATTAAAAAAAAAAAAAAACTGAAACAATAATGGCTTTTATGTATTTTTTGCTTAATATCAAAATAATGTAATTAGGTTCTGTTTCAATATATACTTTTTGTCATCTTTATGTCTATTTATAAGATAAACAACAAGCAATTTCAAATTCAGTAAAATAAGGTTCTTCCCATAATTACTAATGGGAATGGCCCAATTTTTTACCTTGTTTTGAGCTAAGAACTAGATACATGCTGTTTGACTCATTCCCCCTCCCCCTAGTCAAAGAGTAAAAATTTTCATTTCGTACAAATTTAAATATAATACTGATGGTATCAAAAACTAGAATGAGATAATTTGATCTTTTATCTTTTTGCTTCTACAGCCTTTATCTAATTTAGTAGTTTGCACCTATCAGAAATGTATTTTATGTTTTAGGACCATGAGCAAAGGCTTACAAATTATTTCTTTAACAAGTAGTTTTTAATAGATTAAATTCCAGATAATTATATTGAAGTATTTATTGAAGATTTCCATGCATTTCCAGCTGCGGGAAATTTTATAGACAACGCTTGCTTTATTTTAGGAATACAGTGCCTGTCACTTATTAAAATCACTGGTTAATAAACTCAGCCGCTTATTGCGTTCAAATTTCTGGAAGCCAAAATGAATATGTACTGATGAGTAAAAGAACCGCCATTTATTAAACTCATCTTCGCAGTTTATAAAACTCAAACTGGCGAAAGTCTGATTATTCAGATCCGAAATAAACTGCTTGTGGCTGATAACAGCTGTTAGTAGTTCATGCATTTACCTTTCATTTATGGAGTGCTTCATAAAAACATGTTTAGGAGAAATTTCTAACAATGTAGTTAGAACCAAGATTTCCTGGGGTGTTGGGTACACTTTCCAAGGTCCTATCAAACTCTGTTTGCAAATCTCTGTGTCCGAACTAGAGCTGAGAGCGCTCAAATACCTTCTTTATCTTATAATTAACAAAAGCAGCTCTCTTTAGGCATTGGAAATAATTTTTTTGTTTATGAATGAATGAGTGCTTCCCAGTATTAAAGAATCGTTGGTGCTTAAGTGAACATTGGTTCCCTTTCTAGAACACCAGCTGATAGGCAATGGATGTGCATACACGCGTTAAGTTGGACGGTATTCTCAGAAAACATGAAATGCTTCCTTTTATTATCGTACATTATCAGTCTTTGATTGAAAAAGCCGAGTGGTTGTTTTAGGATAAAGAAAAAGAAAAGAAAGTAATTATTACGCCTGTAATAACTATGAAGGTACAGATCGACTTAATAAACAAAGGCGCAATCTTCTTGCTGGCAAGAAACGGGAATTTTGGATTTAAACAATCGCTGGAAGAAACACTTTTTATTTGCTGTGCGCGTGATTTGTAGCGTGTCGAAAATGCCTAAACGAAGTCGTTTAAGCCTGAAAGAAAAGGAAAAATTGCTGAAAGATTATGATACGTTTGGTAAATGCAGCCAAAGAGAAATGAGCTTTAAAAATGGGGATTGCCCAAACAGCATTGTACAGTTTACTTAAAAATAAAAATGATAAATAACTACCAAAAATTGCAAATGTCTGAAAAAAGCGCAAAAGAGAATGAAAATCGAGTGGCATTGAAACCTCCCTTCTGGAATAGTTTCAAGCTATGAGACTAAAAAGATTCCAATTTCTAGAGCTCTTTTAGCCACAAAAATTGTATAATTCACCAAAATGCTAGGAAAAAATTTTTTACGAACTGCTGGATGTCTCTTAAGATGAAAAGAAAGAAATAACATTGTTTATCGGAAACTATATGGGAAGAAGCAAAGGGCAGACCATCAGTTTGGCTGAGAAATGAATAAAAGACGTTTTACCCGAGCTTCTAAAAGAATGCAAGCCACCTGAAATTCATAACATAGGAAAAATTGGCCTGTTTTACATACCATTACCAGAGCCTACATTAATGTTTAAATGTGAAACAGCAGCTGGTTTTAAGAAATTAAAAGAAATAGTTACTCTGTTATTAACGTGCATAATGTATGCAACAATTAAAAAGATGCCAATTTTTATTGGAAAGAGTAGAAAACCTCGATGTTTAAAAAAACAAGAAATTAGTCAAGAATTTACCCTTAACTTGGCGTAATAACAAGAACTTATGGATGACGAACAGTATTTTTACTGATTTTCTATTTCTTGTTTCTTCCTGCAAATACGATTTCAGCCATTAGACCAAGGTATTATAAAAGCTTTGAAGTGTAATTACAGGAAAGATATCATTTAAAAAAGTAGTTAAATAAAATTTAATCTTGTGAAAATGCAAGGACTTCGAAAGAGATAGAAGTCGATATTTTTTGCTAGAGGCTATGAGTATTATAGTCAACGCTTAGAGTGGTTTTTATTTAAAAGAAGCCACACTGGAATTGCAAACTATTTCTAATATTTCGGTCATCATTGAGGGAAATTGCAAGGATTCGTTTTTAGAAACACTGACTGGATGTTACAGAAAGTGCTAAAAATGCTGCAGAAACTGAAACGTCAGTGAAAATGATACGGAAGAAAGTGACTACATGTCAGCCTCAGCTGAATCGAGAAAAGGATTGCAAACTCTAAGAACTCTTGAATTTAAAGCTGGAGATTAGAAAATCTACAAAGAGTTTTACGAATTTGAAAATATAATTGAAAGTTTGTTGATGAACAATGCGAAACAAATACGGATAGAGCAGTTCTTTGCAAAAGTTTAAAATTTCATCAAGTTAGTAATTATAAACTGAAATAGCTGTAAGTTGTATGGTCCATAGTCCGGATTTTGGCGAGGGTATGGTTTCGTTTTTTTATAGCTTTCGCTCCGCAAAAATGCTGATATCTTATAGGGGTTGTCTTTCGGATCGCAGTCTCAACTGTATTAGAAAAGTCTAATTAAATATTTAATTATTATTTTTTAAATTTAAAACATTGTTTTTATTCAAATTAATGTAGCAAATACCGTAAAATCTCTCGCGACAATCACCGACTACCTTTAAAAATTCTCGGTGTCTTGGAACATAAAGACTGTAAGACACGTGTAAGAGTTCAATATCTAAAACTTTATCTCTTACATTTGACTGAATGATCAATTTTAAATTAAAATACTAAAAAAAAAGGTTTTCCAAAGAGAAAAGATGATGAAAATCATGTGCTATGAGATAGATTTCTCGGAAAATAAAAAAAAAAAAAAAAAAGAGAGAGAGAGAGAGAGAGAGAAAGATTAAGCAACAGCGGATTTTTTAATATCGTCTGATACAAAGGGGAAAAATTATACTTTTTCAGTTACGATTTAGATTTATTTCCTTAAAATAAGGATTCCATTTATTAAAATAAATCAATGTATTTATTACTAATTTTTTCATAAAAGTGTTAAATTATAAGTTACTACAGTTATCTTAAATTAACCCTGTGCTGCATAAATTCCATTTCAGATTCCATAATTCAGAGTTTTTAATTTAAGTTTATTTTACGAAATGGGGCTGTGTAGAACTGAACTACGAATGAGAGAAAATACTTTTAAAGCACTGAAAAAGAGACCGAAAATATGTGAAATCCACCCCTTTAAGTTTATATTCGCGATTATTATGTTAAAAATCTCGTGTGTTTCTATAGTTACAAAAATTTGAGATTTCCAGGTTGTGCAAATTGGCATTGCTTGCGAAATGCAGTAAGGATGTCAACATAATTAAATGCAGTTTTTTCGGCTTTGTAAGGTAAAGTATGCAAAATTAAAAGTGCTAAATTTTGAATGCCATGGAACGAATTTGTATATTATATGAATAAAGGAAATAAAATGTTTTAAGGAAGTGCGTTTTTAATATTTTTTAATACTAAAATATCTGTTATCGATGGTGATTTTTAAATTATTATTCTAGATGCTTTTATTTTCTCCGATCTATTATGCTCATGAAATCTTTTTCAAAATCGTCAAAAATGCACTATTTTCATTTTCTTTGCAAATTTCATGCAATTTCTCACCCTCCTTTTTTTTGTGTGTGTGTGTTGGGTATTGTTATTAGGTTTTAAATGAATTATGTCCTAATTTTTTATAACTCAAAATTCTGATAATAATTTTAGCACAGTTGAAGAATTTAAAGGATTTTCATCAAACATTTGCTGATGATGCAGCTAAAGAAAAGGAAGCGCTTTCTATAAAAATGCAGGAGATTGAACAGGAGTTTCAGATTCGCCTCAGGAATGAAAGGCATCAGCATAATGTTGATATCGATATTCTTTCCCAAGAAAAAGTATGCTATTTTTTATGCCATCTTATTTTAATATGTATTTTTTTTAAAAAAATATTGTTAGTTAATGAAATGTTTAAAACTGAATTATCTCTGAACTTAAATTTTCCAGCATTTTCAGTTAGAAAAGAATAAAATGGAGGTTTTACATAATTTTTTTCGGAAGACCGCACATGCGCCAAACCTTGTTTCTAAAGCATTTCAGAATGTCCACCAACTGGCAAAATATTCGTTATCTAGACTTGCTAAATTTTAACAGGTTATGTCTCTAGTTCTGCTGAAGTTATTTACAAAATTTCGATGGTTCCATGTATAGAATTTTGCATACCAAACACTGTAGAAGTATCGTACGAATTTACACTAATTATACACAAATTAAAAATAATACTAAAGAAATAGATAAGATTTAGAGTAACAGTGAAAAGAAATGAATGTGCATAAAATATATCGTAATGCAAAATAAATATAAAGAAATATGTATGTAAAATTTAAACTAATATTTATATACATTTATCATTGTGTAATAATAATGTAGTATTTGTTATTTAAAACTCTTTTTGATTGTAATAGTTATGCACATAAAAATGTGTATAATTATTTTCTTAAATTTACAAGGATTGGCCAGTATACATTTAGTTCATTCAATATTATTTAAAGTAGATATTTAATTTGGAAAAAATACATTCCATTTACATATATAAGGAATATATGGCTTTTTACTAATGTAAAAGCAATTTAAATCTACATTTTCCATTATGATGAAATAGTTTTATGTTTAATATGTCTTAATTTCCTTAGGAATCACTCCGTGGAAGATTAGTTGCTGCTATTGACGAACTTTTTGAACGTCATCAGAAACAGCAGGAAGATTTAATAATTTTTCATCAAGAAGAAATTAATAATTTGAAAAAGCATATTGCCTCTAGTGAGAGGGAACATGAAGAAAAAATTATGCATCTGGAAGCAAAAAATAAGAGAGTAAGTTATTTATGATGCCTCTGTAGTCTTGGTTTTCAGGCCACAGAATTTGTAAAGCAGATTTATTTCATTAATTTGATCTTTAAACTAATGTAGTAAATTATTATAAATTGATGTTAATCACTTTTTAGAATCAGTTTTATATTTATTTTGCACTATTTTAATTTAATTTTAAAATTATAAAATCACTTTTCATGAATTAATTTTTGTAAATTTTTTAAAACTCATGATTCATCTTCTGTTTTTTAAATTATTAATTAATTTACTGTAAACTGTTTTGTATATTTTTGCATATTTGAACATCTAAATTAATTTTTGTGAAAATTTATGTGAAAGCTCACGATTTAACTTGTAAGTTTTTTCAGAAGTTGTTAGAAGTTATTTTTATACATTTAAATATCATTTTAAAATTAGAAGAATCATTTCTAAATTGTAATGCTCTTCATGATGTAAACATTTAAGGGGGAGCAAAGCAGGAAAATAATTGCAAGCTAATGGTTTTTAAAGTAAACAAATAATTAGTTAATTTTATTTTTGCAGATCCAAAATGATTATAAGCTTCAAGTTTCAAACTTAGAACGCACCATTAAGCAGTTGCAAAGTAATTTTTCTGAAAATGAAGATATGTCTAAAAATTTTGCAGAACAACTTAGAGCTGCAAAACTAGATGTAGAGAGAATTCTTCAAGAAAAGTTAGATACTGAGCAGAAGATGCAAGATGAAATCAACAACATGAAGTAATATTTTTAATTTTGGAAAACATATTTTGCTTTTAAGAACTTCTCATTTTTTCAATAATTATCCTAAAAATATGATATTTTGTGTAATTTCATATTTTCTAAAATTCAAAATTGTAATTTTATGAAATGTTCCTCTGATTCATTGTTAGTGGATCACAGATACTAAATGTCATTGCTTATTTTATGTATAAGTATGAACTATCAAAATCTGTTATAATAAGTATTTGTTATAAATTTTATTTATCTAATAAAATTTCCTTGTTATAATTTTTGTTTTTTGTATTAGCAATGAGTTAAATATATTGATTGCCATTTTTTTATTTTTCAATAACTTAGTAAGAAATTAAACTCTTAGTTTTTAACATATCTATAATATTAAGATAAAAAGTGTAAACTGTGATGAATAATTTTTTATAACTCCTTAATTTTAAAATGCGGTAGCATTAAATTGCAACACATTTTATTTCATGTAACTTTGATTTTACTAAAATAATATAAAGTATAAAATAAACTGTTTTAATTTATATATTTTAAAAAGTGACTTTTGATACTGTTCACAGCTATTAAAATGCTGAATGAATATTCATTTGTTAGTTCTCTGTTTATTTTAGGTTCTTCAACAAAAGTAAAAACAGAAACAGTGTTAGTAAAGTAGTGCCATTTTGCTTTAATTCAATATTTCTGATTATTAATGCAATCAAGTCATCTCTCAGTAATTAACATTATTTGAATGGTTGTCCATCTAATGAACTTTTTGCAAAAGTGAATGTTTTGTAGAAAAACATAAAACCTTTCTTTTTTGATGAATTGAATTTTTGATTTCATTGTATATATATATATAAAATTTTGGCACAATACTTTTAATACTATTGTTTAAATAGTTTTAAATTTCTTTGATGGCCAATTTTACTACTTTTATTAACAAATCGGGCCTATTTCGTTTTTCATAGTAGCTTGATCGCCCGCTAGCTTGAAGATTACGACTTTTTATTAACAAAATGACTGTTTTTTTTTTTTTTTTCCTTTTACTCTGCTTTAGAGGCCAAGTTTAGTAGTTTTAGCTGAATTAGCCATTTTCACTTTCAGTAACGTTTTTTTCTTCCAACAACATGACTGACGCCATTTTGAAATCTTTACACGTTTTTCCGAGCTTTCTGACCCCTTCAAAAATTAGAGACGAGTTACAGCTAACGGACAGTCTTTTCGTATTGGCTGATGCCCAAAGGACATTGCTCCCCCCTACTTACGTCACACGACTGAAGTACACAGAAGGGAATTACAACCCTTTTTCAACTTAGTTTTTAGAGGGAGAGCTCTGCATCGCCACAGGTCAGTTTTTTCAGTTTCTTTTGTTACAATTTTTTTCTTGGTCTTAGCAAGACCCACTGTGTTAGTTTTCATTTTAAATTCTTCATTTAAATTTAATTGCAGATTTCTAAAATTTTATAAAAGGTACAAATCTTTAAGCTTGCAGGTCCAGCCCGTATGTTTTTGTATATTTAGGACTAATATAGCAGACCGCTATTTACTTTTATTTCTATTTTTATTTTTGTCTTGATTTTAGATGTAATCGGAAGAGTTTTTACACAATTTTAACACCTTAATGTGTCATTTTGTGTGGACGCGTCGGGAAATAGGAAACAGAGAATTGAGACTAATAAATTTTCCAAGACACTTTGTCTAAATAAAAAAATTTTGTAGCGAAAACGTTTCAATTGTCTGTTTCGGCGAAACGCGTAATGGAGTTAGCTTGATTCGACGTGCAATCAGATATTTCCCTTGAAAAGCCAGCTTGGACGTCGAGTTCAGCTAATTTACCATTTTCCGCTTTCTATTTTTATCTGATTTTGTTTGTTTTATGTTTAACTTGTTACTTGGTTTGATTTTCATATGTATTAATTTTTCAAGTGGCACATCCATAGGTATTTTACTGTATTTTCTGCCATTACTAGTTTCCAACGCTAAGTATTTTACTGTGTTTTTTTTTCCTTTTCTAGTGTAGCATATTTCTCACCCTTCAATGACATTGTTTTTTAAAATGTGTTGAACTTTTGGAGCCACAGCTCCTGGTACTTTTAGGCGAGCTACTACTACATTTCTATATATATATATATATATATATACATAAATACACACACATATATGTATGTATATTTTGTGATTTATTATTTGTTTATTTATTATTTGTTATTATGTCTTATTTATTTGTTTTAAGGTCTGAGCATATGAAGTTTGTAAGAGATCTTGAAAACCAAATTAGAGACTTGAAACAACAGAAAGACTCTGCAGTTGAAGATTTAGCCCAGTTACAGTTAAAGATGAAGAATTTTGGATTTGAGAAGAATCAAATAATTGAAGAATTAGAACAGGCTAATTCAAATGTTAAGAGTGGTATGTTCTTTTTCAGAAAGATTAGGAAAAAGGAAGAATTGAGAATAAATCTATGTACTCCTTTGCCATGTTTTTTGATGTAACTAAATTTGTATCAGAATTTGCATGCATTTTTTAAATTTAATATATGTAAATTCTATAAACAATGAAAATTCTCCAAGATGAAATATATAAAACATATGGCTGTAAAATGTTTATAAAAAGAGGGAGACAGAATTGAAATTTTTTTATTCGAATAGCTATTTTTTTCCTTCTAAATATCTATTTATAGTCCCCTTTACACACACACACACACAAAAAAAAAAAAAAAAAAAAAAAAAGAACTAGTCTTATATGCACTCTCAGGTCGCCAAATTTCTCGCCAAGCATTTTTGGCGAGAAACTCCGTGGTGCCGTATTACTATCTAAATTTTTTGCCTACATTTCGAACTTTAAGCCTAAAATGTCTCCAAAAACGCGGTTTTCGCACATGCAAAAACCATGTTTTGAACACACAATTTAAGCTAAAAATCTGAAACGAAACAAAAAATTTAGATAGCAAAAACGTAAAGTTTCTAAACAAAATATTTGACAAGAATCCATGAACACACCAATATATTTTAACTTAAAAAAACATCTACGAATTGCACAATCTAGGCAGCGAAAGAATCTACAAACTACGCACACCTTGCTTTAATAAATTAACATAACAACAATAAATTTCAAAGAATACCATGTACACAGCATTCTGTTTCAACTTTAAAAAACATCTACGAATTGCACAATCTAGGCATTACACGCTAATCAACAAAAAAAACTAAAATAAATTTCAAACAATTAAAAAAAACAGCAATAACGACAGAAATTCATTCTAAAAAAACAATGAACATAACATTCTACAGAATAAGAACAAGAAAAAAATAAAATGCACTTACCATGAATGAATGCTTTTTCGAACAGAAATACCAATTTCATGCCGCCACGTAATCACTATCGTATTTATATGATAGACAGACACACTATCCAGAAAATTCATACTATGGTTCACAAATAAATGTTCAAAACCTTCTTTTCCTAAATCCTTGTAAGATTTCCAGCCATCCGAAAAAAATAGTTGTACAAGGCTCAATCCACTCTTTAATACACTGCATCAGCGTTTCCTTACTTCTATCATGCACAGCCGCTAAAATAATCTCCCAGACTCTCTTGCAACCACATCTCTCATTGCAACATAGGCCATTTCAAAACGCGCATGACACGAACCAATGAGCAATTAAACCACTCCAGCAAAAGAGTTTTCAACGTCGAAAGGGTTGCCATACGATACGCAGTTGCGCGAAAAACCAGCACAGAACACATATCGCCACATTTGGTGATCTTAGGGCGCATATAAGAGTAGAGATAAAAAAATAAATAAATAAAATAAAAATAATAATTTGGTGACATTTTTCTTTTACTTCTAACCTTTCCCAGGTAACTTTTGTGTTGGTGAATTTAAATTTACTGGAATTTGTGCTTGAATATATTTAATTATTTTTTTCTGAATGTTACACTCTTCCCCTCTTGTATATACTTACATGTTTATTTAATGATAGTTTGTAATTTTTTTCCTTTTAAATTTATAGAAATTAGTTCTAAAATCCAGCTAGAAGATAAAGTAGCTTTACTGGAAAATCAGTTGCAAGATGAAAAAAGCTTGAATGAAGTCATTAATAAAACTTTTGATGATTGTAAAAGTCGTTTAAAATCAACACAAGCTGAAAACATGGAACTTAAGCAGAAAATAGAGGAATATCATCAAAAGATAAATGGTTTGTTTTAGTATACATTCATTGAAATAAAATTAATGAAATAGCTAAATATACATAGTTTATGAAATCATAATATCTGACTGAATTTTAATAAATTCCATAATTTCAATCATATCTTTTTGAAGTGTATGCTTGTTAATTATTTAAATTTTGTAATGCAGGTTGAGAGTAAATTGTTTTTCTTATTACCTTTGACTAATAGTGCTTCATAAATTCAGGTGTCTGGAAAATTTAATGAAATTTGCAAGTCCTAGATTTATATCATTCAATAAACCATTTTAAAAAAGATTGAACATAAAAGTACTTAAAAACAAGGACCTTAGAATTTATTTAAACTGAAGTAAATTTTAGCTCTGTTGATAATAAAAATTCGTCCTCCTTAGTTGTTCATAAAAATCTTACTTGTTTAAGGTTTTGAAAGTTCTTATGGGAAGCTGAAATCTCAGTACCAGGAAATGAAGAACACATTGAGAGAAGCAGAGAAATCACGTCAAGATCTTAAGCGGGAAGTACATAATTTAAAAAGAAAGGTATCTTCTCTGGAAAACACATTAAATTCTAAGGAACAGGAAATTACGGAATTAAACATGTTGCATGAAAAAGAAGAAGAAAAAGAGCAAGAGTTAAAGCAAGAAATCTTATCTTTGAAGCAAAATGTAAGATTTTTATATTTTACTGATTTTAGTAGAATATCCTAAAGTGCTAATATTTATTTATTTTTGCTGCATATTCTTTCATAAATTTCAATCAGTTTTTTAAAAATTTTGTACAGTTTGCATAATTGGATTGAGTTTTGCCTATTTTCAAAATAATATTTTAAAATTAAATTTGAAAATATTCCTTATTATTTTTAGAGCAAATAACATTTTCAATATAAAGTAATTAGGTATTTAAAAATACAATAAATAAACATATTTTTTTAATATAGTAGGCAGTAGGGAGATGTATTGATATTTGTTTGTATGCATCTTAAAAAGAATTAAATTCTTTTTAGATCATGGAATCCAATGCTTCAAATGAAGCTACAAAGAAAGAGTTGTTGAATTCAAGGCAGAAATTGTCTACCTTGGAGCATAAATTAAAACTTCAGCAGGAACAACAACAGTCAGTTCTTCAAGAATACTTATCAAATGAGCAAAATCTGTCTGAACATAGAATTAACCTGGAAAGATCAATGGTAGATGCTGCAAAAGAATTACAAACATTACGTTCAAATTTAAATTTTGAGGAAGGAAAGGTTTTGGCTTTGGAAGCAAGAGTTGTGAAACTGGATGGTATATTTTTATACAAACTTTTATTTTCTATCATGCAAATAATTTGAAATTTCAGTGCTCTTTAAAAATTAATTTAATTTAATTATTATTATTATTATTAGGTGTAATTTCTCTCAGAATACTCATATGATTTGGAACAGAAGTTCTAAAACTTAAGACGGAAAAAAAGGCAATATTTTACTAAACATTATTTATTAACAATATTTTACTTGCCTTAAAGATTTTAAGAGGGCAGTATGTGATTTTATTAAGAACTCTTTTTGCTTTTTATCTATCTTTTGTTACTTGGTAGTCATTATGCATTTGAATCTCTGAATAAACAGGTGGAGAGCAAAGAACATAAAAAAAGAATTAATGGTACTTGTAATATTAGCTGAAACCTGCCAATATATCACCAAAAATACCATGCCTAATTCTGAATCTAAATCTGAATTCCATGAACATTCAACAACCGTAAAATCTGTTCCAGGTTCTTAAAAAAAATTAATAAATAAAAAAGAGAGAGAAGGAGATTTTCCCTTTCTTATTAAAGGTTTCTCCATATAACCTCTTTGTTTAAGAGAGGATAAGGATATTTTCTTTCATTTTTTTGCCCAGTGTCAAAAAAATATAGCAAGTGTATATTTTCAATGCATCATTTTTGTTTGGATAGGTTTTTCACCCCATGAAAAATTTTTAGATAGCATTTTTCATCCTGTGATGATTTCTTGTGTGTCAATTTTTACTGCATATTAGCTGAGAAATGAAACTGAAAGCAATGAAGCTATGCAATGCCAGAAGATGAACAAAGAAAATATAATGCCAATAACTGCCAACAGAATGTCAGAGTAAAATTTGCCTTTTTTACTTTGCAGAACTTATATTCAGGCTTTTGTGTAGGCAAAGACAAAAGGTAGAGAATAATAATCTGATTCAATTTTAGATACAATTTTCAAACAGTATTTTCCAGAAGGAAAAAAAAAAAAAAAAAAAAAAAAAAAAAACTAGTTCATTGACCTGTTGATATTGAAAATATATTTCATTACCAAAAGGTGCCAGCAGATTGTTGGCAATATATTGGTGGGAATACACAAGTACAGGAACTAAAGCTTCTGTAAAGTCTTTCAAAGGTGTCATCAAAATCTACCTTTAAATAAGTTGGTTCATGTGTTGGTTTATTTCATGGGAACTAGCTTGTATTCCACATTACTCATTGGGAAATTCATGTGTAATGCTATTAAATAAGAGAGAATGCTGAGTAATGCTGAGAATAAATAAGAGAGAACGGTCCTTAAGATTTTTACAACTCCTGTTTGTGGAAAATCAAGAGGAAGACTAAGAAAAGATGGAGAGACTGCCTGGATAAGGATTTTGCCATTCTAAAAATTAAAAACTGGAGGTCTATTGCTGGAGGAAGGGTTGAATGGGAAAGGCTTCTGAAGAAGGCAGGGCCCACAAGGGGCTGTTGTACCAATACTGGTGATGATTTAATTCTTAGGGACTAGGCTTAAAATTATTCCTGAATTAAATAGTATCTCTCATAATAGGCACTATTGCAGAACAGATTATTGTGCTGAGTGTGATATATTACTGATTTTTTTAATATATATTATGTGTCAGAGTGTTAAAAAAGTTTGAACTATGACTTAACTTCATATTTAAATAAATATTAAATGATAGATTTGAGCTTTGTGAGCATACATGATAAAATTTCTAACCACAAATTACACATGTTTAAGAAATTTTCTGTGTAATTTGATTTAATTATAATTTAATTTAGATTTTTTAAGTAGAAAACTGGAAACAATTTTTATATGCATATGTATGGTTTGATTTTTGTTTAAGTTAAATCTGTCTGTATGTTAGAATAATTATTATAATATTATTTTTTATATCATAAAAATATTTAGAAACTTGCATACTGTTATAAATAAAATGCAATTCTTCTTAAATATATTTAAATTTTTTATTTATATTAAAAATAATACATGAAAAGTTGAAGTAATATTTTAGAATAATATATTTTGTTGAATTTTTTGAAAAAAAGAAATTTCTTTCTCTGAATGCTTATTGTTTCAAGTTGGAACAAAATATATTGGCATAATAAGATACATTTATTTAATCTTAAAGTAAAACATTTTTAGCATCTTATTTCTTTAGTTATTTATTCATGTAGCACTGCTGTAAATTACAGGACTTTGTTTTATTTTCAGGGGCAAAGCGAGATGTAGAGAATAGATTGTATTCAATTTGTTTATTTCTTCGGTCGATACTTGGACTAGGAACTGACAGTGGCTTTTTGAGTGTTAGTTCAAATATACACCAAGGCTCTTGGCCATCACACAGAGCATCACCTGAAAAGTCTGGAGATATCACTAGATCTTCTGTTCCAGATAGCCCTCATCGACTTAACTTTTCAAAGAGCAGTTCTCCTGCTCAGTTCACTGTATCTGATCTTGATATTGAGCTACTAAAATCATCTCTCATGGACTTAATACAGAAGTTTAATTCTATTGAGAAAGAAAGAGTAATGATCTACATTTGTTATATTTTATTTGCTAGCTACATTTATTATTATGATCATTCTCCTCGTAATCAAAGGTATTGGGCTTTCAGTCAAGTAGAATTTCTAATATAAAAGTTTAATTCTGTTGAGAAAGAAAGAGTAATGATCTACATTTGTTATATTTTATTTGCTAGCTACATTTATTATTATCATCATTCTCCTCATAATGAAAGGTATTGGACTTTTAGTTAAGTAGAATTTCTAGTGATTATCTTAATGATAATGCCAATGGCAAAAAATTGCTAGATAAAAGAGTTCATGGCTATATTTTTTCTTTTAAATTTCTCTCTGTCTTTAACATCTGTGATATTTAAAGTAAATATTGTGATTGTTTGTGTAATGTTTGCACTATTTATTAAAAAGAAATTAGTGAAAATTTCTAGGTGCAGAATATTACGTTCAAAAAATGGCAATTAATCTCCTATGAAAGGCTTTGGATAATTCTTGCAAGATAAAATGTATAAAGGAAAGAAAAAATTAAAGTGCTAATAATTAAATGATGTATATAGTAAATTAAAATTTTCTCTAAGCATAATTGTGCATCTTCAAGTCATTTTCTTCAGAATTTCTTCACATGCATTCCAGCAGTTTTTTAAGTTATTTTTAAACTCATTATCTAAAATATATTTTAGTGTTTATATCATTACAAAAATATGCATACTCAAGCATACAAAATGCATTTTTCATACATCTATACATATCACTTAAAAATGAAAATGCTTGTATAGAGATTATATATACAGTCAAAAGTCATTAATTCGGACACACATAATCCGGAATGATCTATAATCCGGACCTCAAAGCTAAAAACTTTCTGCACATGCACCGCGTCGACACATGCGCATAGGCGTTTACGCGTGCACATAAGACCTTTACGACTGCGCATATGTGTGTGTGCAAGTGCAGAATACATTTTCGCGTGCGCGTTTTATGTATAACGGACGGTATAAGCTAAAAGTATCTAATTATCTATTTCAGTTAATGTTAATGATTGCGTTGTTCCTTAATCTTCGAATTGGATCCGGCTTATTATTTTTTGCAGACTGTAAGAGCAATTTTATAAAAGTAAACTTGAACTTTCGATTATGTCAAATAGAATTTCCGATGCTGGAGCTCCCAAAGGATCTACAAAACAAAAGTATGTTTCCATGTCCATGAAACAAAAAGTGGAATTGCTGCAAAAAATAGATAAAGACATGAAGAAGGTGACAGAGAGGTTAGTGAAAACGAAAAAATTTCGATTGACAAGTTAGTCGGTATTCTCGGCACAGCAATTACGGGACTTGAACAGCGGAACTTTGTAACTGAACAAGAAATTATGTCTGTTTATAGAATTAAAGAGAAAGTATTATCACATAAAACAAAGCAACTTAAACAACTTACATTGAAAGAAATGTTTAATAAAGTAAACAAATAAATATTAAGCTTTTTTTTTGTAAATTTTGATACCCTTTAGATCATAATTGTTCTTTATTTCATAAATTATGGTTTCATATTTTTAATTTTAGAATTTCTGCATGCCATCTTACGAGATTTAAACTGATGATCTATAATCCGGAAAAATCGATAATCCGGAATCGCCGAAGTCCTGACGAGTCCGGATTAACGACTTTTGACTGTATCAGTATTTTTTCCAGAAAATCAAAGTATGAGCATTACTTGAGTGCAGATGATCCATTAGCATATATGATAAATTTTGAGTCAAATCTAATTTTATATTTAATCATGGTGAAATAAAAAATGTGTTTAGTTACTAAGTGATGTAAAATTTGTTAAATAATAATAAATGTTAAATGTTTCCTAAAATCAGTGTGATTTAAAGAGATTCTTTTTTTAAGTAAATCCTGTATTCTGTATGTGTAAACATATGTATATGCAATTGCAGTTATCGGTTAAAGAATTTATTATTAACCATGGAAAAAATCAAAATATATAAAGTATTGGGTAATCAAGAAGATGCTAATCTTAAAATTTGAAAATTTATTACTTTAGTGGAACAAAAAAAGGAAATCACTCCTGTTAGCCCATGGTTCAAAAAATCATTTTTCAAATGCAAACATGTGCTAAATGGAAAATCTTTACTTTTAATTTTTCAGTAAGAATAATTCTGAGGTATTGAAAACATTTTTAAATCACTTCATTTGGGGGGGCTGTAACAATAAATATATTTTTTAAATAGAACTAATTTTGAAAACTGATAACTTGAAACCAATTTTTTTTTCAATAAACTGGGAGATGAAAAGAATGAGATAGAGAATTATATATTATGACACTCTAGTTTTATTTGTACCTTTTTGGTTAAACCTTTGAGCAGCACGTTTTTGGATCTGTCATGAAGACCTGTATTTATGCAGAATTTACTAGCTAAATTCATATATTTACTTATTTTAGCCTCTATTTTCATAAACGTTCTTAAGATTACATTTACATTATTAAAGAAAGTAATAAAGTAAAATATCTAAAGGTATAAGCTAATATGTATCAATGACAAAATATCTCATGACTGGATAAAGCCAGACATGCTGCTCAGAGGGTTAAAGATTGTAAATAACTACCAATCTTGTTCATACCTTTTTAAAACTTTATATTCATTTAAATTGTTCTTATTTCAGATATACTTCCTAAATTTGATTTTTTTTTATTATTAAATTTTATTTTATTATTATTATTATTATTATTATTATTATTATTATTTTCCAATTTAAGTTCTCTTTTGGTATAGCATACTTACATTTGTAATTAAAAAAAAATTAAATATTTATATTTCATATATCCTGTGAAAATATTACTTGTTTAAAAGTCGCTGATACTAATCTCTCTTTCTTTTCCTTTTTTTTTTTTTTTTGGGGGGGGGGGAAGGTCTTTTTATTTTGTCTATTTATTTCATTTCTCTCTCTTTCTTGTTTGATTTTATAACAAGGAAATTAAAATTTTGCATTTGGTAATCAATTTCTAATCATTAAGTCATTGCTTTAAAATTTCACAGTATGATATACTAAGTTCTTTTAAGTTTCCAGAATTTTAATTATTAGGAATTAGTAATAGATTTAAAAAATATAAATTAAGACATTTTCCCCCATATCTATAAATCATAGTTTTGAAAAGAATATTCCTTTGAGAATGAACTTTTTTGAAATGTTAATTTGCTACATTCAAAATCTTACTATATTTAAAATTACTTATTAAAACAATCTTTTACATTTTAATAAACTGACATTTTAAATCTTATTATCTAATTGTTGCCTGTCTTACAGGATGATGTGAAGGATGTTTTAGCAAATGTACAGAGACAAGAAGAGGAATTGAAAAGCGAACACAGTCGCTGCCTTTCTAAAATTTTTCAGCTGAAGAGAGACTTAGAAGGTTTGCATTTTAGAAAATATTAATTTTATTTGCATTTAATTAAAACCATGTGGATTAATTAGCTAATTAATTGGTTGTATAATTGATATATTGATTTGACAGAAAAATAATCAATTTTTTTTTTTTTTTTTTAAACTTCAGAACTAAATTTCTGTTACAAAAGCTCCATTGTTACATATAATATCAAAGGAGAGAGTAAATATTGTTATTATAAGTGTTTTTTAACATTAATATAAATTGAACACTTGACTCAGTCTCTGATATACTTCTTCATCATCCTAAATTTTATTGCAATTGGTATTGCTCAATTAGTGAAAAAAAAGTAATCCATTAGCATTAAAAAGATAAGTATGATGGGTGAGTAAATAATTTCAAATCAAGTTCCAAAAATTTTTAGTCTTCAGTTTAAAAATGTGAGGTCTAGTTTTTTTCCTTGAAGTTTTGTTATATATTTTCTTCTTGAGTTATGGATATTTCTGTATTAATTCCTGTCGAATTTCAACAAGTGAAATTCTTTTGAAGAACCAGCCCATGTCATTAATGTGATACTCTATGATTATTTTAAAGCACATTTGTCAAGTAGCATATAATAGCCTTGAGTTGTTATTGATAATCTAGTTTAAATGTTCCATATACAATTCATCTGGTCATTTAAACTTGGGTTTGGTATTGGAATGAAGTCTTTAAGTGCCTTTAAGCTTCGCGTAATAAATAAAATAAATAAAAAAAAAAAAAAAAATAAAAATAAAATAATAAAATAAAATAAAATGTTTTGTATGTTAGTTGATATACTCAAAGCAAAGATTGTTCTTAGACATTTAGAAATTTATAAAATTTTTTGAAAAGTTTATAAATATTTTTTTGCCAATCTGGTATCAGGAAGATTTATTACTTAATTCATCAAAAGTGAATATTATGATTTAAAACTTTTTAAAAACATAGTGTAATTCTTTGAATCTAAAATAAATGAAAGAAATGGAATCTAAGTAAAATTTAAACTTTATTATTTAGATAAAAAAAATGTTGAAAAGGAATTGGCCACCAAAATTGCTAGTGTTCACCACCATGAGGAAGTTATAAGAACTCTAGAAAGGGAAAAAAGAAGATTAACAGAAAAAATTGGCAACTCAGAATTTAGTTTATCATCTGCAGAGAAAGAAAAGGAAAAACTACTTGTAAGATTTCATATAGTAATATCTGTTTGTTTTTGATCTGATATAATTACATAATTATTGTAGCAGTTTATAACTTATTTGCATGTATTTTATATTCTTATCCATTCCTAGTGAATTGTAGATTAGTTAAATTTGTTGTATTTTATGTATTTGTAGATATTTTTAAATGTAAATATACTCAATTTAATTTGCCCCTCCCCCTTTTTTTTGTCTTTTTTAAGGATCAGATAGCTGAAATGAGAAAGATGAATGAAAAATATCAAGAAGAAATAAAATCCTTAAAGTCTGCAAAAGAAGCTGCTGAATCAAAAGCTATTAAATACTTTAAAGTATATCAGTCTATGGAAGCAGATGTAGAATTATTGCAAGAAACTCTTTCAAACAAGGAACGAGAAATCATGGTAAACTATATTCTGTACTATTTGTGATTTAATAAAATAAAATCAAAATGTAGCTGAGACTTTTTTGTAGTGAACTTTTTTTTTTTTAATTTTTAGGAAAAATAGTAGAGTATACACTATATTGAGTCTTTTGATATAGTTTTGAAATTCAAAGATAAGCTTTTTCATAAAATGTTAATAATGATTAAAATTTACTTAAAAATTTAAAAGTTTTGTTATGATTCAAATTTTAAAATTCTAAGAAGTAATGAAATTTTAATCTTAAGTGAGTTTTAAAATTTAGCCGGTGGGTTTTAAAATTTGCTGTATATTTTTTGTATGGCAAATTCTGAAACTGTGTTTGGTTTTATTCCAAATATGTTTTATTGTAGAGTAACATTTCTAACTGGTGCTGAAATTCTTTACTGTAGGTACTAGGGATCACAAATCTCTTCAACATCAACAATGTTCTAGGCCTCATTTGCTTCATAAACTAAAACCCAGGATGCTGTTGGTCAGAATTCAGGTGGAGCTTAAACAGATAATCCTCATGTGCTTAGTAAAATAATTCAGTCTTGTGAAATATCCCTGTTGGGATAAGATAATCCCTAGTGCCTTCTTACCTTCTAAAACTATTCTGCAGATCTTGCAACATAGCAAGTATTGACACCTTAACTGATCCAGATTTCATTTTCACATCTTTACCCTCCTACCACATTCACTAAATGCTTTTGCCATGTTTTAAGTTATCTTCCTCTGCAGATTTTAGCAATACATGTACTCGACCCTGCCCTTTTTTAAAACAAAAGTAAAAACATTCATTTTTGATGAGAAAGTATACCAAAAAAGTTATGTAAATTTATATCACATGGTCATAAATCATGAATATTGGTTTTAATTTTGTATTTGTGAAGTATAAAATTATCACTGTTTTTCATTTGTTTGCTTTTGCAATATATTTCAGATTACAGCTGCTTTTACAAAAGTATAACATTCCTGTGAAATCTTTTATAAACTAAAGTGATGTAAAGCAAAAATGCAGTTGTCATTAATTTACATGGGAAAAAGTCTTCATATTCCCAGCACTCAAAGAAGCCTATTAAGTCATTCCATACTACTCTTAAAACCTAAAATAAGATTTAAACAGATAATGATATGATAACTACATAGTTCATTTAAATAAAGAATAACATACATTTAGCTTAATTTCAATCAAAAGGACAATCATACTGGAAAAACCATTAGAATGCTTAGATACTAAGTTTCATACATTTTTAACCATATGGTTCTTTATAAGCAATCAAAACATCTTCTAAAAACAGCCTTTAATGTTTGTACTATTTAATTAGTCTATTTTTTACAAGTTGTACATTGAAAATAGGGCTTAATCATGCTTATGCTTTCTCTTCATTAAAAAAAAAAATCTTGTTAAACCCCAAAAATGTACTAAATTAGATCTTTTGTTAAAACAAAATTTTATAAAACAAACACTGAATTAAATTAGGGCACTTGTTCTTTTTTATAGGGTTTTCAAAGCTTGAATCATGTGCATATATGTATATATTATAAATTATGCACTTTATATTTCAAGCTAGAAATATTATATACTAGCAAGAATATAAAAGTGAAAAATTACAGAATAAATTTTCATAATTCATTTGGCACAATTTACATTAATCATAATACACTTTTTGCTCTATAAAACATAATTTTTCATTATTTACAAAATATTGCAAGCTGCTGAAGGATAAATAATATAAATATTAATTGCATCAACTGGTATTACAAAAAAAACACTGAAATTTTCCCATTATATACTGCTGACCATTAAAATTGTAATACCAGGAAGGAATGATCTGACAAACATCAAAATCACATGAGAGGAAGAAGAGGTTCAGATATGCAAACGATTAGTATTTCAGTGCATGTACATGATGCAGGAGGGAGAAACATCTGAAGCACTGCATAAAAGAAAAGTTGTGTAGTGGATTTCTCATTCAGAAAGTGTTTTGTAAGGTCGGAGTTTGCTCAGAACATCTTGTTATGTCTCGAATAATAATGAGAAATGCTCACCAGTAAGTACCAGAATGTGACAGGATGTGAGGCACAATTTATTCATCAGTATCACACAGGAGAGTTCTAAAGACACGTTTATAGCCATCAAAAACTATGACAAACACACTGAAACAATCAGCAATACAGCCTTCAGGCTACAACGGTGAAGACAGCTTCATGGCGAAGCACTAAAATGCAGCTCCCAACTTGGTGGATAACTCTCAAGCTAATATCTTGCTACTCCACGTATAGGCAGGGTTTATATAGCTTTTGACCTGACTTCGAGAACACTGTGGGACAAATCAGTAAAAATTTGTTCCAGAATGTTCTCACTCTGTCTATGGCATATCAGCAATTTTGTCACCAAATGGGTAATTCGTGCCAAATCTGGCAACCTTGCATTTTCTTGCCGTTTTCTGGCAACCATAAATTCGCTTTGCGGGGAAGCTATCTTTCTGCGGCTGAGCATTTCGTAACAATACCTTATGTTTCCTCAGAGAAACATACCTAATGTTTCAGGTATCAGAGAGGGAAGTTGCAAGGATTCATACTATTGGAAATAGGCTCAGTTCGAATGCCTAACAAGTATCAGACCACATGGCCGCCCAACTGGTATAGTGGTAGCATCACTGACTGCAGTGCAGAAGGGCACAGGTTTGAATTCTGGAGAAAGCATGGATGTTTATAAATGCATAAAGTAGGTGCCCCATATTCTAAATATGCGGTGAGTTGAAAGTCCTCTTGTAAGGTTTGGTGGAAGGGGAGAGGGTTAGGAGACCCTTGAATACCAGAACGTAAGGCAGGATCATTGCTTATGGATTATCATTCTGTGATATCATCCATCGCACTGGTCAACATCCATCATGCAGTATTTTGATGGCCGTATACGTGTCTGGAGGCTCCAAGGAGACAGCACATCACCTGCATTCCATATCGGCATAGGGGCCCTGCACCTGCTGTGATGGTTTGGGCAGCCATTGGATACATGACATTCACATCTCTATTTTGGATTGATGGTAATCTGAATACAAATAGGTACAATTTTGGCATCTCACGTCCAGTGGTTGCTCCATATCTTAGAGGCCCTCAAACACCATGTTCCAACAAGATAATGCAAGACCACATGTTGCACATTGTGTTCTGAGCTTCCTCGATACACAGAGTATTTGATTGCTGCCCTGGCCTGCAGGGTTCCCAGACCTTTCACTCGTTGAAAACATCTGGCCATGGGTTGCTGAGAGACTGGCCCGCCACCCCTCTCCAGCTAATACGGTTGATGAAGTGTGGCATAGACTTGAAACAGCAGAGAATGAGTTGCTCGTTTCTGTCATCCAAGCTTAGTTCAACTCCATGCCTAACCAGGTAAGGGCATTTTAGATGTCAAGGGTGGCAGCTGTTTCTACTAATTTTCGCACCTCTGTAAACCCCCAAATTGCTTACAAATTTAATAATTTTATCTTCATGTCATACTGTTTTTATGTACAATAAATATCTTTTTTGTATTTGCTTTCCTTCATGGTATTGCAATTTTAATGTCCGGTAGTGTATTACTAATATATTGTGATATGATATCCAGCTGTGGACATTATACATGAGGAAGCTTTGTTTATTGTATATAAATGTGTTTGAAGAAAGTATGTAGTACTTGCTATAAGTATGTAGTGGCAGTGGTAGTTTTTCACTGTTTTATTTCTTATAACAAATTCAAAAGTTTCCTAAACATAAGTATAAGGACTAGTGAAATCTGTAAAAAAGTTGATTTTGTGATTTTCACAAAAATGACTTCATTTTTTAGAAAAATAATATTCTAGTTACATTTTTAATGAAATTTTATCTCTTACAAAGAATTATTCATATATTGTTTAATAACACTTTTTCAATTGTATTCTCAATTTCATAAAATTTCTGATAGCATTTTCAGTCGGCACCTTTCAGTTCAAGAATTTTTCTTGAATTTGCAGTGTTTTTCTATATTTGATTGATGATAGTAAGTCACCAGTTTCTTCTGAATCATCTTTGCTGTCAATTTCTGCAGCTCTTTTAACATGTCCATAGTAAATATTTATGCACATTGTCTCAGTTGTGAATTGGCACATATTTTAAAAATGAATCCTCATGTTGTTGTTGCTTATGCTCACTTGTCTGACAGATAGTCAGCCTATTCCCATGAAATTTCTTGTGGCAAAACACGCTAGATTCCACCTGCCGTTGACAACAGCCTTGAGCACCATTCAGGTGACAGTGTGATTTAGCTCAGTTCTGCTCCCAATTCTGATGGAGAGCACCCTGGAGGAATGGGTTCAAGGGTCTCCTAACCACCAAACCTTACAAGAGGACTTTCAACTCACCGCATATTTAGAATATGGGGCACCTACTTTATGCATTTATAAACATCCATGCTTTCTCCAGAATTCAAACCTGTGCCCTTCTGCACTGCAGTCAGTGATGCTACCACTATACCAATTGGGCGGCCATGTGGTCTGATACTTGTTAGGCATTCGAACTGAGCCTATTTCCAATAGTATGAATCCTCGCAACTTCCCTCTCTGATACCTGAAACATTAGGTATGTTTCTCTGAGGAAACATAAGGTATTGTTACGAAATGCTCAGCCGCAGAAAGATAGCTTCCCCGCAAAGCGAATTTATGGTTGCCAGAAAACGGCAAGAAAATGCAAGGTTGCCAGATTTGGCACGAATTACCCATTTGGTGACAAAATTGCTGATATGCCATAGACAGAGTGAGAACATTCTGGAACAAATTTTTACTGATTTGTCCCACAGTGTTCTCGAAGTCAGGTCAAAAGCTATATAAACCCTGCCTATATGTTGAGTAGCAGTGTATCTTGAGTGTATCATGCAAAGTATCTGTTGTTGTTGAGTTCAGTAGTAGTGTTTTGAGCTCAGATATTAGCTTGAGAGTTATCCACCAAGTTGGGAGCTGCATTTTAGTGCTTCGCCATGAAGCTGTCTTCACTGTTGTAGCCTGAAGGCTGTATTGCTGATTGTTTCAGTGTGTTTGTCATAGTTTTTGATGGCTATAAACGTGTCTTTAGAACTCTCCTGTGTGATACTGATGAATAAATTGTGTTTTGATTCTTCATCAAGTATTGTACTCATCACTCCAAATCCACAAACCTGTAGAATGCAACAGTATGTTCCTCAGTTCCTCTGAAGCTTCTTCTACATAAATTACATGTTTTGAAAACAGCTTTTAACTTATTTTAAGAGATTAATCACTACATTAACTATAATATGCCCAACTTCCAGCTTGTCTCTTTTGAAATCTTCTTATCATTTTCATGAAATTCAATTCTATTCATCATTTAGTAAACATCTTTTCTATAATGGCATTTAACAGCTTTTATAATACTTTAAAGGTTGAATTTGGAATTTTTTACTTGTGTCTTTTCTCTTGGTATTTCAACATGTTACACATTAAGCACACAACAGATTTTAAAAATGCTTTTTGCAGTGATTTATCCAATTTTCAAAATTTACATTTCTAGCCAGCGGAAAGGTTTATCTATTTAATTGATCTGCCATTTCATGATTACAAGCGTGACCATTTCTTTCCTTGCTTTTTCTTCAATCAACAGTTACCAGTTCCTGTCCATTCAAAGACTCTTAATGTATTGTAATGTTTAGGAGCATTTCAGAACTTTATTTATGACTCTTTGTAACATAATGTGTCTATTCCAAAGGAACGATTTTATATGTGGAAACCGTTTAAGATGGAATACAGAAATTGCCCTTCCACCTCCTATCAGCTGGTATTCAAGAAAGAACCTTCACTGATTCACAATGTCTCTCTAGCAGCGTTTCCCAAACTTTTCACTCTTATGGAACCCTTATGACAATGTTCAAGTTCTAGAGAACCTCAGCATCCATGTAACAATATTTTTTCATGATATTTGTATTAATGATCATTAAAGGAAACAAAAAATGACTATCATTTTAGCTGTTTATTTCAAAGAAAAAAAATTACATGCACTTGTTATAATTCTAAATATAATTAGGTATATATAAATATTAAATTTCTTTAGTGTAATAGTTTATAACTTGAATTCAGGATCTGGTTTTCAATATATATGCACAATTTTCATCTTTCACAGAAAGGAGACAATTTCTTTCCTTATTGTTAATACTTGTTAAACAAGAAAAAGCTTGGTCACACATGTACCACTATTGAAAACTGCAGTAGTAAATTAATTGCTTTTGTTTGAATTGCTGGATGCTCACTTTCAACAGAAATCCAGACTTTGTCCAAAACCATGTTACCAAATCTCATTTTCAGTGAACCATCTGAATGTTAAGTCACAAAGTTCTTCTCTTTAAAGTTAGGGTCTGAGGATGAGCGGAAGAGAGAGAGAGAATGAATTCCTCACCTAATCGTATAGTTCTGTTGAAAGGGGTGGAAAATGACAGCTGCTCTAGGTTGGATACAATAAAGTATGAAATTTGTTGGTATTCATTTTACTTTAGTCCAGCCAGTAATTCAAATATATCAAGATTTGCAATCCAACATATCAGGATTGTTTGAACATATCAGTAATATCTTTATCTTTCCATAAGCTTAATTTTCTTTTAAATCCAAGAATCTTGTCACTTGAAGTGTATATTTCACCTTGCAGTAACTTATTCATTTGATTCAAGTGATGAAACATATCTGCTAAATAAACTAGCACCTGTACCCACATTTGATCCTCAAAGCATTTAGTAAAATCTTGTTTGCGGTTTTGTTTTGAAAATGTGCATGCATTTCTTCCTTTAGCTCAAAAACCCTACTAAAAACTCTGCCTGTACTTAACCACCAGATTTCAATGTATAACAACAGATTTGTGAGCTCTTTATCCATGTTTTCACAGAGCTTTTTAAAAATACTGGAATTAAGTGACTTTTGTTTAACCCCTTGACATAAAATGATGTCTGGGAGACATCATTCATTTCGTGTGTCATTGTAGACTTTGATGTCTCCGAGACAGCAAGAACTTTTTTCAGCGAATGCAGCGCAGTATATCATTAGATTCGTTAACTGTCGTTAGTCATGCTGTGATCCTGTTTTGTATGTTTTCTCCCTCTCAACAGAAAAATATCATGTTTTATATGTTTTGCTCCCTCTCTTATTTGTATGTCAAGGCGTTAATGAAGTTTACCATTTTTATATCATCATCAAATACCTTTTATCTTTCGTTATTAAGGGATTTTGACATCAGTACTTCTCTATGAATAAAAGAGTCTTTTATGAAGCAAACCATGGAAGCAGCATTAACTGTAAAAATGCCAATACATTTCTTCCAAGAAAGATCTCTCCCCACCCCCCAGATATGCAGATAAAATATAAAACATATCTTGTCTTCTTGTCTCCTCTGCTTGTCTCAAGTAATTCTTTACAGCAGAGGAAGTTTTTCTGAATTTCTTCGTCATTAACAAATTTTACAAACACTAGAACATAACATTTGTTAATTCTGTTGATTCATACACTTGAATTGAAAAATTGCCATTTTTCACTTTGTCATACAAAACCTCTTCAACATCATGTGACATATTACTGATTTGTCAACGTATTGTATTATTTGAAAGTGAAATATTTTCAATTTTCCTTAATGCATTTTCTCCCAACATTTTATCCATTATAATTTTATATGCGGATACTATCAGATTCTCACTGGCTGTGTAACGTTTCCTTTTCTGTGCAATAACCTCTGCTACCAAATAACTAGTTCTCTGAGCCTTTTTACTAACTGTAAATATGTTTACTATACTCTGTTTATTTTGAGATTTTAACATAATTTAAAAATAATAAATAGTTTTATTTTTCAAATATGATTTATCATGAAATGTCTGTTCAATTTTATTGGAGCCATTGCTGTATTCAAAAGTTTTTTTACCACAAACAAGACACAGTGGAAGAGGGCATTCTGGACTGGCAGTCCTTGTAAAGTCACACTGACTTTCATTGCAATGGTGAACCTTTTTTGCTAAATCTTCATCATTAATATCTTCAATATTATTTGAATCATATCTTCTTATTTTAACTGTTAAAAATCTATAGAAGAATTAAAAAATGAGAAACAAAACCAAGTAAAATACTAAAAAAGTAGTAGTAAAATAGAAATAAAATAATAAAAAATAAAATAAAACCAATAACATAAAAATAAATATGCAGTAGCACTCTATTTAACCAACCACATGATCCTACACAACTTGCAACACTAATGCGTATGCAGTAATCCTAGATCAGCTATGCTCAGTTAGATATGTGATGCATGGATAGATAAGTTAGACTCGTGCTGCTGCATGTTTGCAGTGCTAATGTACAGTTTAATGTAAGTTGCTAAAGAATAACTCCTTCCATATAAAAAAAAAATTCTCTCTCTCTCTCTCTCTTTTTTTTTTTTTTTAACAATTAAATTAGTAATGCAAGTAACAAAGAAATCAATACAGCTGTTTGCGATGTCTGTTGAGTCTAACCAAGCATAGCTGAACAGCCAAAGGCAGCTTTTCAATTATCATTGGCTGGACTTTTGTCACAGTTACACTTGTTTCCCTCACCAAAGTTATCCGAGTACACTTTTGCCAGTCTGAGTTTAATAAATGGTGGAGATAAGTTTAATAAGTGACATTTTTCTATTGATTAATAATATGTATTTGTTTCAGTTCCTGGAAATTTAAATGTAATAAGCTCTGGGTACTGTATATCACTATAATATTGTGCATATGAAAATAATGTATGCATTGATTTTATGACATTTTTCACATATAAAATTTGTTTAATTTGCTCAAAATATAAAATAAATAGAAAACAATTTTGAAATTCATAATTTGAGCTAGGAATAATTACCCCTTTTCTCACTCTCTCTTTATTTTTATTTATTTATTTGTTTGTTTATATATATGTTTATTTTATTTTGTTTAATGTGTACTAAATATGCTAGTAGCAGATATATGATCTAAGTGGAAATCTGCTGTTTGAAACACAATTTTTAACTCAGAAATGTATGCAGCATTCAAAATGATTAATCCAGGAAATAATAATAATAATGCATATACATAGTTTTAATGAAAAGAATCTTTGCTGTTTCATATGCACATATCATAGCAACATTTTATATATTTTTATAATCATGTTAATAAACTATGCATTTTATATCGTATTGATACAAAACAAATTGTGCATATGTCTGCAAATAAAAGGGGAATTTGTTTGAAACAGACTATTTTTCTTCTAAATTAAAAAAAAGTTTTGGAATAAAACTAAGTTTTCCTTTTTTATCCATTTGTGCATAGAGGTCTAATGCATTTCTGTATATTTATCTATTGGAAATAATATTTTTTAGGCTCTGGAGCAAAGTGTTAACAAGAAGCTTCAATCATCGGAATCTCGGAATAAAACGCTTCAACAAAGTGTTGAACAATTAAATTCAATAATTCAGAAACATGTTGAAAATGAACAACTTTTAAAACAGAAGGTAATTTTCTTTAATTTTTAACAGCCATTTTTCATTAACATGTGAACAACTGTTTCTTGAGAGTATGATAAGTACAGAATAGTATGAAAATTCTTTTATTATTGTCTGAATTTTTTTAACTCATTTATGACTTATATGTTAATTGTAATTTTCTAATACATGTGTATGTGTGTAAGCTATGAAATATAAAAGCAAATTACTAAGTTTATTTTGGGAATAGTCCTTTTTATTCCTCATTTTTATTTGGCTACTTCACCTAAAAATGGTAAGTTTTTATAATGTATGAATCTGTTGTTTCAAAATTAATCTACATAATGATTTCTTATGTAATCCTACAATGCAGACATCTCTTATCCAGTCACAGATCAAGATAACTTTTGACTCTCCTATACTCATCTGAATGCATATTCACTTTCTTGCTTTACGTTGCTGCTGCTAACATGTGCCACTCATATCTGTGTTTCGTCCATTGTCTAAAGATGTAAATTTCAAAGAGTATTATGAAGAGTGTCTGCAAGTCTTTCCTATATTATGCTTCATTCAAACTACAAAGTAAAAGAACTGCCCAAATACATTACAGCTGTCTCCCAATCATCAATATATTACTGATAGTTATATTACATATATATGTATTTAGAATGAGAAATAAAATTAAAAATATATTTAAAATCCATCTCATATTCAGTTTAGAACAAACCATATCCCCCCAGAAAAAAAATCACAATGGCAAACTTGCATGATAGGTGAAAAAAAGCCAAAACAAAAAATTAAAATGAAAAAAGAAATTTACATCTTTCACTGTGTCATTAGGGAGTTGGTGCAATGAAAGACATATGTACATCAGCCTGTTTTTGAACTAAAAAAGACGCAAAATTTAATACTTAAACTAATATCAAAAAATTAATTAGAGTAATATGTGTCTTTATCAGTCCAAATCCTACAGGGCAATAAATAGTAAGTAGTGCAAAATTATAGCATCAAAATCATAAACAAACTTAAAAAAAGCTTAATTTTTAAAATTTATTTTTTATTTTGAGCAGATTGAATCCAGAATACAAACAATGCGAATATAAACAATCCAACACATGAAAAATGTAATAAAATATGAAAATTAAAACCATACAAGCCAGAGTAATTTTTTTTTTCAAAATTATGGTATTAAAATCATAAACAAGTGAAAAAGCTAATAAATATTATTTCTGCTAGAGTCCAAAAAAAAAAAATATGCAAACAAAAGCAATCAACATGAAAAATAATGCACTGAAAATTTGATCAAAAAGTTAAAATAACTAAAAAGTAGTTGTTTTAAATCTGTAACATAGTGTCCAAAAAGTTTTGAATTTAAAAAGATATATCTATTTTAGATCTACCCATAGCAGGTAGAGTTGACTGCTAAGACACAGACTATTTTCTGCGATAATTTAGACACAGATACTCCTGAGATATTTAAGTCTTAACTTTTATTTGTGGTTTGTTGGTTCAGCAACGGCTGATGTATTTACTTCTTTGTTCTTTTGATGTATTCCCCCCCCCAATGTTAAGGCAGTACAGATTAAAGTTTTTTTTTTTTTTTTAACCTTTTTTCATTTTGTTTTGCCATTTTTTGTCACTAGCATGCAGTTTGAACTGTGCTTCGTTTTTGTCTGTTTTTTCCCCCATACTGGGGATTGGCTTTTAAAAGATTTTAATTATTATTTTGCTCATCCACCACTTTTGTTTGTCAGCGGCATTTGTTAGGTTCTGAATTGCTTTTTTTACTTTGTATTTATATATATATATACATTTATTTATATATATGCAGAGAGAGAAAAATATTATATGTGCAAAACCTAACCACCACCAATTTGTAATAGCGATAGTTGTAATTTTTCATTACTTAATGGCCTTATAAATACACACTTAGTTACATGGGGTGATAGTAAAGCTGTAATGTGGTACCCATCAAATGCTAAAAATGAAGGGGTGAATTTGCCTATGGGTGCATAAGGGAAAACGTATTCTGTCTTAAAAATTTTTTAGTAAACTAACCACAATATCTATGTGGGCTAGAGAATGAAGACGTGTCTAACAGATCTCCATTGCTCAGTGTATGAAACTATATGAGTACCGTAGTTGGATTTTCCTAATGTTATTCTCATTTTATGTACTAAATTAAAACAATATTCATGTAAATAAAGAGATGTTGAAAATCAGTTTCAAGCTGAAGTAATTAATTACTGAGCAGTGTAGTAATTCTATTACAAAAGCTGTTGAGACTGAAAGTAGGTCAAAAGTTGAAGCATGATGCTATAAATAAAGCTGCATGTGAGTGGGGAGTAACATGTTTGACTGTGTGTAGAGTTTGGCAAGCAGCTAAAATATTGTATAATGAATGTAAAATTTTTGCTGATGTTTCTTCAAAAAAGAAAGGCAAATGTGAATGGAAATGCAGGATTATTCTGAACAGTTAACGTAAGTTAAAGAAGCTCCTTAACTTTGGTTAATGGTTACCGGCTACTTTGTGCATAAGAGACCCTGGAAACAATTAGGTTCTAGATCACTTAACTTTATTTATACACTTAAGACTGAATATTACAGTTGTAAATGTGTATCATGATTTCAGATAAAAGTAAATTCTTAAATGTATAGCATGTTTTCAGCTGGAAAGAGTATTATTTTAACTATATTATTATTCTTTCTTTATGTTACATCCAGTCCAAAAATGCAATAGTGAATTAGCCTAATTAGGGTCCCCTCAACATATTTTTACAATGACGTCTGTATGTATATATGTGTGTGATGATTTTTCTGTCCATTGTAATTCATATGAAACTTCCAAATACTTCTGTTTTCCATATTTAAGTTTCAATCATATTGTTTGATTGAAGTTGATTAGATTTTAAGTAAAACTGGAGAGTTAAAATTTGTAATTTACAGGGAGCCTATGGCAGTCTTTAATAGGCAAACAGAAGTGGTATCTACTTGAAGCTTACAACAGTTTTTAATGAAAAACTATATTAAAATGTAATCCAAAACTTTTCAATATTAATATTTGAGTGTATCAGTGTGAAAAACGCGTTTGATTTTTATTTGAAATTGATGAACTGGAAGTAATGCTTTACTTGAAACTCTGAAAAGACTTTTGTAAAAAAAATTGATTATAAAATAATCCAAAACTTCTTAAATTTGGTATTTAAAATATGTATGTGATTGAGAACAACATATTACATTTATAAGTATAAACTGTATTATTGGAATTATGCTAAATGCAATGGGAATAAGCTCATTGTGAAAATGAGTTCTCTTTATGAAGCAATTAAACGTATTACCTTCAGTCCTCAATTTTCTGTTTATGTTACTTTCATATTGAATCATCTTTCAAATAAAAGTATGCTACCACCAAAAATTATCACTATGTGTTATTTTTAAAAAAATAATATATGAAATATATAAAAAAAAATATGCATGACCACACTTAACACTCTATCAGGAATTCTAAAGATATGCTGCTTTTAAAGTTTTTGCTATTGATTAATGAATTTAAAATGCTATATGTTGATGTGTTATTTTCAGATCAAAGAATGAGAACTGATATGTACATGAGCATATATAGTTATACTGTCCATTGTTTGGGAGAATAGAGTAATAAAAACTGAGTATTGTTTATAATTAACACTAAGCCATAAAGCTTGTAAACAAATTAAATTTTTGTTTTATTAAATGATCAACTGGGAGTTTCAGTTTATCCAAAGCTCGCTGCTTTTCTGTGATGTCTGACTATAGAATTAACGGGAGGTCATGTACCGGCCACGTCAGACTTTTTTTATAATTTTTTATGTGTTTTTGTAAATAAAATCTTCAGTCTTTGTATTTTTGATGCATATCTCTAAGCAAGTAATATATTTTCAAACTTTTTAAACTTGACATTAATTTTTAATGTTTCAGGTTAACAATTTAAGCCATACATTGTCTCAGACTTCCACTTCTCAGGAGAATTTATATGAAGATCTGGAGAGATTTAAGAAAGAAGATTTAATGCAAAAATCAGAAATGTCAACTCTGCGACATTCTAATGAAGAATTAAAGTAAATTAATTTCATTATAAATTTTAAATTACTTAAATATTTCTATACATACCTCTTACTTATAAGATAAATTTTATGGATTTTTCTCTCCCTGTGATATTTTAGATACTTCATTTCTCTCTTGTAGTAATATTAAAATGTAAAAAATATTAAGAAATCAAAATGTTACTTTATTTTTAAAATGCTATTTGACCTAAAAATGATTAGCTGTATAAATAAGTTTAAAACTCCTTCTTTAAATACTTATTTTATTTCCAGTAGACTATATTTTTTTCATCCATTATAACTCGTATGAAACTTCCAAATACTTCTGTTTTCCATATTTAAGCTTCATTCATATTGTTTATTTGAAGTTGATTAGATTTCGAGTAAAACTGGACAGTCAAAATTTTTAATTTACAGGGAGTCCATAGCAGTCTTTAATATGCAACCAGAAGTAATATCTACTTGAAGCTTGCAACAGTTTTTAATTAAAAAGTATATTAAAATATGATCCTAAACTCTAATATTACAGCGTAAAAATGTCATAAAATAAGAATTTTTTTTTTTTTTTTTTTTTTTTTTTTTTTTTTTGTGCTTGTTTTCTATAGCAGCCTTGGTGGGAAAGTGGATTTGGTATGTTACTGCTCTGGCAAGAAACAAACAGTTAACGATCAGTTTTCATTGTAAAATCTTAATAATGCTTAGTATTTTTAATCTTCCATTAATTGAAAAAGAAGTTATATATGAGGCATTATATCAAATTATGACTGTGGATGCCAAAAAGATCGTATTAATAAAATGTTTATAACGTTTCAGTTTTTTAAAATAAATTGGATTTTACATCATGCTTATATATGTTTTCATTTTAAACAAACTGTTTAAACTGTATTAAATACAATAATTAACATATATATAAAATAATTGGGGATTACGTTATTTTAAAAATTCTGACACATTATATTACAGTTATTGGGTTGTCTTTATGCATTTTAATTGAAAATCATTTATATTCTTGAAAGACAGTTTAAAAAAAAGATTATAAGGAGATAAACTCAGTGTTGACGTCTATTTAAATGTTTTAATTGATCAAATTAAATCTGGTCACTGCATAAGTGCATTATTTTCTACTCATTTCATTTTCTGAATTTTAAGATTTTAAATATTTTTAAATTTAAATATTAAATCATAATAATAAATAATAATACTAAATACTAATCATAATAATTAAATAAAATAATAATAAATACTAATAAAATCTAAATACTTTCGTAAAAATAATATAAAAAATTTATTAGTTATTCAAAATATTTTATTACTTCTTCCCTCAAATCATTATGCAATTACATTTAACAACTTTAAGCCTAAAACATGCCTTTATTCTGTAGCCTCTTATAACACTATGTAATTCATGCATATGGAAGCTGATATTTTTTATATTTGATTAACTTTTTTTTTTTTTTTTTAAATATATGTCTGCAATGTTATCATCATACAATGATTTGTAGGTACTTTATTTTTTACCATGATATTTTCAATGATGATGTTTATAAGAAGTTTTTGATTAGCTTTATTTTTGGCAATGATGTTTTGTCCAATGGCGTTTTCACTTTGCATTGTTTTTAATCCGTGATGTATTTGCTGCAATGTTTTCTCCTGTAAATAGGATGAAGTGCAGTTTCTATACAATTTATGAGCTCTGAAAGTTTCTGGAATATGGATTTGTTCAAACTGTCCAGTTGATGACAGCACACATTCGGACTGATTTGTTGGCTCAGTAGGAGCTTGGAAAGAAGACCACACTAAAGTTTGATCACTGACAAAACTGATTGTTTCGGTAAAAAATGTTGTCATGCATGTCATGCTCCCTGGATCTTGCACTCTTAGTCTTTCATTTGTTTCTCCCTTTTCAAAATTTCTTTCATAGTATAACTTCAATTCAGATGAGGCCTTGAATCAGCCCATTGTTCAGCTTTTCATTGATATGTTTGCTAAGCTATGTTCTTTTGTGAACAAGGAATTAGGAAACTCATTAAAAGAAATTTGTATTAAATTATTTCTATATGTATATATTAAATAACTTGTGTTGTATAAATATTGAATGAATTCCTAATTAATTCTTTACCACAGTCAATTTCATTTTTGTAGATGTTTATGATGTTTAGCAACAAATTGCAATTTCTTCAGCCCGAATTGTATCAACATTTTTTCTCTTACCAAAGCCACTACAGAAGACCACCATTTTTTTAAAATTAATTTTACTTTAAGAATGTAATAAAAAACACTGATTTTATTATCTTCTGAGGATTTGAAAAGGTTTAATGAAAATAGTACATTTTTCTAATAAATAATGCTTTGCAGATGTTATTATTATTTTTTGGGGGTAATAAAATTAGGAAAAATTTAAATGCCCTTTGGACAATAATAATTTTATATGTATCTATCCTTTATGTCTGTATGCATCTTATAAGCACTAATGTAATTTCATGCATATGGAAGCCTGATATTTTTATATATTGAATTAACTTTTTTTTTTTTTTTTTTTTTTTTTTTTTTTAACAGAGCTCGAGTTGATGAATATAAATTGAAAATAAAACTTCTCAAAGATGAAGTAGAAGATTTAAAACAGAGTTTGGCTCAGAGTGAAGCAATTCAAAAAGAATATCTTGATCAGATAAAAAAATTACAGACAGTAAGTTTTTTTTATTGCCTTTATGTATTGTTAATCTTTTCTGTTGTTTCAAATAAATGATGTGTTTTTTGTGTAGATGTTACTGAAAACTCAAGACTTGGAGAGAGAAGCCAGTCAACAAGTGAGCAAGCTAGAAGAACAAAAACATAGTCTTGAAAAGAGAGTAATTGAGTTAAGTGCATCCTTGAGGAATAACCAAATTATCATTGAAGAAAAAGATGACTTGTGTCAAAAACTTGAAAAGGATAGAGCTTCTCTGCAGAAGTCTCTGGATAAGGTAACATATCTTTTTGAATTGTTCAGTTTTAGCGTGTCTCACATTTGAAGTGGCATGTGAAGCTAAAATTAAAGTAGTTATATAAAAATTATTTTAAATCTATGTGAAGCCAATATTTTTCTTAAATGTGACAAAGATGTAAGTGAAATGAATTTTAACCATTTAATGCAACACATTTTTATTGGTTTTTGGACAATTAAAAGTAATAAACCTTGATTCATATTGCAATTTCTTGTTAAAATTAGGTGAAAAAGTAGCCATAGATTGTTGTAAATTTTGTATAAAATCTTTAGTAATTAAAATTTTTTTTCATGAAATGTCTATCACTACTAAGACTGTTAGAGTTTTATTCAGAATCTTTGCCAATCTAAGGTTACTTTTTCATGTAATATTACACTTTATACTCATGTGTTTCTGTTCCACTTAATTACTTATTGATTAAGACTACTGTATTTCAGTATTTAATAAATGTATTCATAAATAGTCTATCTGGGAACTGTTAGTAATAATAATAATTAATATAATTTCTATAAATATTCAAATACATTTTTTCAATAATAAAGTAACTTGAAAAAAGTATAACCCTTCAGCACACGTGCATCACTGCGCTACATTAGTATACGCGCAGGACAAATTTTACCCGTGTTTGTTTTTCAGAGTTCACCCCCCAACGTATAAATAAATGCATTTTCTTTGTTTTAAATGAATTATAATAACTAATAGCTTTGGAATTCTGTTAAATCTTTTTTCAGTTTTAATTTGAGATAATCTTCTTAAAGTTATACAAACATTTCCATACTGGTTACCTAAAGTAACCCATAAAAATCGAATTTATGCAAAATAATAACTGTTAGATACATATGATTTCTCATATTAGAAAAATCAGTTTTCATATGTAGATATTTTTTAAACATAAATGTTTATTATAAAGAGTGGTTTGATAAAGCACTAGAGGAATATGAAAAGGCTGCATTCTTACTAGCTTTTTTCCTTAAAACTCAATATAATGCCATTCAATTATTCATGCCAAAGAACAGATTCTAAATGCGAATATTACAAAATATAAATAACACATAGGCTTTCTGCCCCCTTCCTACCTGAGTTTATTATTCAAATAATCTTGTTTTAAACAATCCTCACATATTGCGACAACATATTTTTACAAACAATTTCTTAGGGTGAAAGTCTGCTGCATCTTCTATTCCTGCCAACCTTTTTACTCCAGTTTTGAGTTGTTTTTTGAGAGAGATAGAATTGCAGCCCTTTTTAGGATATGTTCTTTTACAAGCTCTAATGCTAAATCTTAAAGAAAAGCTCTTCTGTTCATATTCACTTGGTCGTTATTTGATCAATGAATAATAAAAGCATTTATACCTGCAATGTTCATTTGTTCGAGAAATACCATTAGAGGCCAGCAGCAGCATTTTCTTGAAACAGACTAAGTTCCACATAACTCATCAACAATATAAACATCACCTTTTGTAGAGTTGCAAAAAGTTATCATTTCAAGCTTGAGCTGCTGTTTAGACAATGGATCGATTTGATTATCCTCATGCATGGATGTTAGAACAAGCGATTTACTCTTTTTCGAACATATAAAGTAAGAGTTAATTCTTTACCTCTAAACCCAAAATGCAAAGAGTACAGAAGCCTGTTTTATTTGGCGTAATTTCACTCTTATCTTTTCGAAGTGTCCCAAAACACGTCAATTTGTGCTTTTTCAATAATTCATTGACCAAAGGAATGCTCATGTACCAAATCTGCTCGTAAATTTATGTCATCAAACCTAATACACTTTAACAGAAAGTGGAATCGGTTGATAGACATTGTTATTTGTAAAACAGTTATTCTGCTTCCATAAGCTGACCACAAATCTTTGCTTTGAGAAGTGCTGCTTTCAGCACTCCAGCGCAATATAATAGGAAAACCAACACCTTCAATTCAGCTATGTTTGTCTCTTGTGCATCACGTTCTTTAGAGAATTTGTTTCTTATTGATGAAATGTAAATGTTTGTTGATTTCACCAAATCTTCCATTATTTATTCATCAAAAATTTGCAATAAACACTCAGTTGGATTTTCCAAATTTCTAAAGCTTTTCTTGATACCAGGTAAATGTGTCACTATATTGTGCGAACATGTACGAACGTTTTTTGAGGGTAATTTTTTACTTCAAATTGTTCCATCAAGCATAAAAATCATCAGATGTCAAAGAATATATGCTTCCTAAATCATGTGAATCATCATATTACTGGTCAGAATTAGTTTTGTGAGCACTTAGAAATATTATCGCACTCAGAATCGGAATCTTCAATTTCAATATCAGTTTCAACACTAGCGAGAAGAACCCGCAGTCGTTACTGTTCTCACTCAAACGCACTCTTCTCAATGAATGTCTCCCTCGAAGTGAAACGTTAGTACACGCACGGGGTAGCTACAGTCCCATTGCACATTTCTTCCCCAAAACCACCAAAACCCAAGGACACGGGAAAAATTCCTCTGGGCGACCCCTTCCTAGCCTTGATCTTGAAAGGTACATGATGTACTAGAAAGGTCACATACAACCTTCCCTTATTTTCTAAGAAAAGACTACACGTGGGGTGGATTTTACCCCAGCGCGTGTGCTGACGGGTTAAAAATGGTATTTAAAGTGAAGCAAGTATTTATATGATTCTTAATAGTGCATTCTTGTACGTATGTACACTTGCAGAAAAAAAAGAGAGTTCTATATCCCATTTTACTGGACCAATTGTCAAAATTTAACTTTTTTGCATTTTCCATGTCTCAAAAGCGCGACTTAGGATATATATTAGATTTATTTTAAGCATTGTTCTAACACTGGTGCATTGACACAAAATCGGACTTTTTCTGAAATAACATACCAGTTTTTTTCCTTATTTCGATTCTACAACTCAAATTATGCCTAGATATTAAATTTTGTAATTTTTGGTGAGAAATTTATGGAGAAATTAAAAAATTTTTCTTGGTGCATTTTTTAGTTTGCACTAAGAATGGTTCATATATAATAATAATATGACATTTTGAATAAAAAAACCCTAATTTTTTGCAGGTATGCTTACAAAAATTCATCTACTTTAAGATGATGGTAAAAATTTTATAGGTTATAAATCAAAATTTTTTCAAAAAAATTATGAAAATTATTTAAAAATACAAATTTTAAAAGTAAATCATAAAAAAAATGTATGATTTTTATTTGGAATGAACCAAAATTTCGAAATGTGAAAAGAAGATTCAAATAAGTTTCATAAAAAAGAGATATTAATAAATATATACCAAATTCAATTAACATAAATGAGCTAAAATTTTGGGAGCTAATTTTTTAAAAACTACTTGTGCGATATTTACAAAACTTGTCACAATTTGAGTTGTAGAATTGAATGGGGGGGGAAGGTAGATTTCAGAAAAAGTCCAATTTTGTATCAAAGTACCTATGTTAGAACAATAATATAAGTCTAATAAATATCCTAAGTAATGCTTTTGAGACATGGAAAACACAAGTTAAATTTCAACAGTTGGTCCAGTAGAATGGGAGATATAGAACTGCCTTCCCCCTTTTTCTGTGCAAGTTGTACATGTAAAGGTAAAAGGATTTCTGACATAGTGTATTTTGTTGTTGCAACAATTTGACCTACCTATGACAATGGAAATATAATCGATTCTAAAAATTTAGGTTATTTTGGGTAATGATCTCCATCTGATAATTATAAGAAATAAGAAACTCTTTTATTTGCATGGTCATATTTTTTTTAGCTGCTTTCTTAACTAAGTTTTTTTGATGAATGTATAAATTAAAACAATATCCTTGAACTTTCTGAAATAAAAAAATCCATTTTCTTATTTAATTTTTTTTAATTTATAGTACAGATGCAGTTCTAAACAATATTTATAAATTCATTTAACTAGGCTAAATGTGCTTTTTCAAAAGTAGTAGTTATTTAAAATTACACTGGATTATGCATGGCATAAAATATTTATATATTAATATTTTTAATAGATTGAAAAAGAGAAACAGAGAACAAGTGAAATTTCTGCAAAATCTATGATAGAGAAAAGTTCCCTGGGAAGATCTTTAACAAAAATGGAAATAGAAAATCAAGCATTACAACAAAAAGTACAAAATTTGCAGGTAAATCTTTATGGTTATTTTTAATTGAAAAATAATTTGAATTTATTTCCTGAACTGTTAGAAAGAAATCTGCTAGAATTAACGATGCATTTTCCTCTTTGCCTTTTTAATTAGACAGAAGTATGAATCTTACCAAGATATGTTTGCTAAATAAATGGCTATGTAAATATGCATTATATGGGCAGACAGAGAGAAATATTTTCACTTAAAATGGCTAGGTAAATATGCATTATGAATAAGGGGAAAAAGAGAGAAACGAATTTTGCACTTTAGATTAATTAACAAAGAATAAGTTACAGGGTAAAGAATTGTTTACACATATGAATTGTTCTTGTTACTTTGTATAACAAATAATCATCATGTTGCTAATGGTTATAACAAACAGTATTACTGGTACATATTTACCTATGCATCAAATTAAATATTATATGTTTCTTTTTATGCATTACACATGCTTCATGAGAGATCTTTTTGTCTCATGACTTATCACTAATATTTTGTCTAAAGGAACAAATGGCAATATGTGCCTCACTTTTAGCCTTCAATTTCAATCTTTGCATTTGGGGGAGGGGGTAGTAAATGTTAAAGATATCATTTTTGTGCTGCTATCACCATCTGACCATAATAAATTCAAAATCCTTGCTATCTATCATCAGTGCCATCCTACAGCATTATTGAACCCTGGGCAAACCAGTGTGCTATACCCTTATGACAACCCTTCATGGAAGTAAAATGTACATGGATTAGCATGGGATCTCTAGGCAAGTGGCTGGTCAACCTATGTGTTAAGATGACCCTATCTATATTATCACATTATGACTTGAGAAATGCTTCAGTTTCTGTGAACTGAAATGGATTATAGATTGGATTTGTGGATGGCAAAAGGATCTCACATAGAATATCTATAATGGGTGACAAGAAACTTAGTTTGTCAGACTTTAATTTGATGCTTTTGTGGGCCAATAAAATTGTTTACTGTAATAATTTATAACGGGATTTTTTTTTTACTTTGTGTTATAAATTTTTCTCTCCATATAGTAGTAATTTAAAAATGAAAAAATAACTTGATACATCAGATTAAACAGTATAAGATCAGCATAATTAAATATATGAAGTCTATGGTGTATCATTAAAGAAACTTTAGAGAAGAGAGAAGACAGGAAAAAAAAAAAAAAAAAAGGAGATGAAATTTATTTGTCAAAGTTAATGAAAAATGGTGCAATAAATGGAAAAATTAAGCTATTTGTATTCTTCCACAGCAAGCAATATTTGGTATCTTCTAAAAAAGTAAATGCTTTGTTCATAATCAGTCAAATGAAGAATCCATAATTATTCAGTTCCTTCAAAATTTGCACAGTGGAATTAGAAATAGCTTGATGCTTTAAAGTCAATTATTAATCCCTTCATGGCATGTTGCTAAGCTGAAAACTCTCTGCAGATAGGTGTGTCTCGTGTGCATCACCCCCAAATGTCACTATCAGCTGGATGATGCACTAGTGCATCACCACTTGCTTTGATCTTCCAGATGGGTGTGTCATACATGTTCTTTTAGATTTTTTAAAATCACTAGATGGTGCTGGGTATCCCATACAGTTAGCTTATTTGAATATATAAATTGTTGACCATATGTCTGTGAAATACTTTCTGATGATGATGATGATTCATTTAGATGTAGGAGCAGGTGATATAAAGTAAACAAAACCCAGCTGACAGCAGTTGAGGCTTCACATGATATAAACATTGAACAGTTTCTGATGATTCAAATTTGTTTTTTGTTTTTTTTTTCCCTATGGGAAGATTGGGATTAGAGCTGTGGTTTTAGAAACTCCAGTTTGTATTCAGTTTGCATCTTCTTTAGATAGCAGATTTAAGTTTTTTGCACCAGTTAATACCAACAATTTTGATAGAGACTGCATTGGAAGTTTGTTTTGTTTTCACTTCACAATACAGCAAAGCAGTTGGTACTACATCATGAACTCAATCTGTTAAGTAATTGAAATCTTACAAATTTACGGGAATTTCAGAAGTAAACTTAATTCAAATTTATGTGAATGAAACTGATTTTTTCACCATTTTTTTTTCAATAATCTAATGAACATAATAGTTGAAGAAACTAATTATTTCTATGAACAAAAGATGAGTAAAAATCCATTTTCATCCAAATTCAAAGTACTCTTGTAGATGTGCCTAAAATGAGGGGATTTCTACGATTAATTATTCTGCTTAGAATAATTGAAAAGTTCAACCTGGAAATATGTTTCATAACTAATGAAATGATAGCGACTAGATTATCACACACTATCTCCTTTCTGAATCATTTATGCTATAATATTTAATCATACATTTTATTATTTTTTACTAAGTTTAGATACAGATTTAAGTAAGTTTTTTCTACATGTCATATTTTATTTTGCATTTACATTTTAATTAAAATTTTCCCAGAATCTCTTTATATTCTGTATTTATGATTATATTACCGTTAGATACCATTACAGAAAAAGTAATTGATAAAAAATGTATTTTTAATCATTTTTTTTTTTAAAGTTAGGCTTAGTGACGCAAAACAGCCTGTCTTGCAAGATCGTACTACTGCAGTGGTGTAGCTAGGGTGGGGCAAGGGGGAACATCTGTCCCCGGGCCCAGCATCCAAGGGGTGCCAAATTAATGTTACAAAATTTTAGAATGAAATGTTTCCATTCTTGGCATGCAGAAAGGGGTGCAAAATCTTCAGTTCTCCCCGGGCACTGAAAATCTTAGCTATGCCTCTGTACTACTGCATTAACACACCATCTCCAAGGTGCGTTGTGCTAAGCGGCATGCTATCGCATACGAGAATTTAGAACTGATGCATATATGATACAACCATTGTGATGGGATTAATGCAGTTTCATAGATACAAAAATTAGTATCTAAATCATAGTCTCTGAGTTTCTTCAACAAAAATACCATATTTGGTTGTTTATCACATTTTTTGCTTCTGAGCATTATGAAATTATTTTTTGCTTGGCTGATAGAAAAGTACTTGCAGTTGCAGCACTTGTGGAAACATTTTCCCGGAAAAGGTAAATGAATTAAAAAAATAATAATAATGAAAGTATTGAATCATATGTAGCTAATTTATCAATGTAAATTGCAGAAATTTGTCATCAAATTGTCATTAACTTTATTTTATAATGACTACATACTACTTTTGTATAATTATTTAATTTATTATTTTTTTAATATCATTAAAGGCTGAGTTAGCAGAACTGGAAGAACGTCATGCTCAAAGAGTGAAAGACTTTTTAAAAAGCCAAAGTTTAGAATCAAAGTTAGAAGATGATCGATTACGCACAGCTCTGAAACAAGCCGAGCAGATAATGGAGGCTAGAGAAAAAACACATCGTCAGAGGATTCTTGGTTTAGAAGAACAGGTTATTATTACTTTCATTTATTTCTTATTACATTCTAATATTGATTCAATTTAATATAAAAGTATAGTTTATAGTAAAAATGTCCTACAATATGTGGCTTGTTGTTGAGGCAAATGTACCTGTATCAACATACCTTTGTGTAATAACTGATATTCTAGAATTAAATTAATAAAGCATTATTTCATAGTTCCATAATCCTTTAATTTCTCTTTTATCCAATATATGGTACTACAGTTCCAACTTCTTTTTGTTATATTTTGCATCTGATGCAGAATATTTTTATTCCTTGAAGAACAGGAATCCATGTCAGGTATTCTTTAAAATGCAATGAACTTTTCTTTAATATACGCGGGTGAGTGTAACAATCCTGAAATTTATGTTGGAGTAAAATTACAACGTAGTTTCAAATAAGTCAGAATATTAATGGGATATACATGCATTCATGATATATTTTCAAACAATTTCATTAAGGCCCATGCACATGAGGGGACATGCCTTCTAACAAGTATCTTTTGATGTCCACGATGGTTGCACCAACTCTCTACATGTGGAAACATATGTCCAGCACATCAGTTACATGCCTGTGCCAGGAGTCGTGCTCATCGTTCATGCTGGGATACAATGTTGTGAGCAGGGCTGTGGAGTCGATAGGGAAAATGACTGACTCAGACTCTGACTCCCTCATATATTATATGTAAACATATACACATGGGTTATAGCTTATTTCTTTAATATAAAAGAAGTAATAGATGCTACAGAAAAAAAAAAATTGATGGCATAGCAAATTATATTAATTAGCATTTATTATGAAATGGGAAAACTAGCATTAGTTATTTCTAAGAAACAGTATAGCTTCGGCAAGATCTTCTTTGTTGGAGGGCTATAGATCCGATTTGATAAACTTCAGAGCTGAGTGAGTCTTTCCACACTAACTTGAGTAGAAGGAAGAGCTATTACTGTTAGGGCTACTTCCTTTAACTTTTCAGGATAGATTTTATAAGTTCTAAAAGAGGTGTCTTGCAAACACAATCATATTTCTCTATTTCTTCAAAGGCCGTGTAGAAATCTTGTATGTATTTTTTCATTTTTATATCAAAAGGCACTTGGTTTTTTATTTTCATTCGCTTTGCCTTAGCCTTTTCAATATTATCCAAAAGTATTTCTCAAATTCATCACTGGAAGAAGATGATAGAGACTCAGTTGCAATGTTTGCAGTTCGACTGCCTTGATTCGAATTCTCCAACTGTTCTGAAAATAATCTCATTTTTAATGAAAGCTTCATAGATGGCTTTCTTTGCCTTTTTAATTTGTTCGTCATCTAAGAAAATTCGATTTTTTGGATCTACATATATTGAACCCAACAAGAACTCATTGTCTAGCAAACTTGTTTTTTTTCCTTCATTGAAGAAATGATTCTTTCTGTAATAAAACCTCCATTTCAGAAAGAACAAACATCATATTCTTCCATTCTCACCTCCTGTCAATTCTTCAGATTGCAGCTTTTTTGTGGCTATATATAGTATAGAAAGAAGAGTTTCCAGTTCTACAAGATCATTCCAGTCTTTCTGTTAGTGAAACATTAGGTTTATCTATGTCCCCTTAAAAAGTTCTTAATTCTAACAACCTCTTTATCATCAAATATGTACTTCCTTATTGCATTGCTTGATCAATAATTGCTCCTTTTCCTGCTCGCTTCCTAAGAATGGCATCAATTTTGGCCATTCTTGCTGCTATTGCTGCTTACCTAAATTTACCAGTGAGATTTGTAACTAAATGAAACCAGTTTTAATCAAATAATGGCAAATATATCCATCCTCCTCCCTTCATTTATTTATTAATATGTCAATAAATAGAAAATACTATTTATACATTAATAATTAATGTATATAGTCCATAAATAAAAATAATAACTCAGCTTGTCATTAATTTTTTTTCAGTTCATTTTAATTTCATTTCAAATTCAAACAGTCCAACAAAAACTGGAGTCGGAGTCGACCTGTTTTTAGTGACTCCAGCTCCGACTAATTTTACCCCAAAATCTGTCCAACTCCAACTCCACAGCCCTGGTTATTAGAGACTTATTTGGCGATAGCCAATAAAATTGCAAATGAAAATCATATATCTGAAAAGCTGTGGTGGCTACTCAATCCTGTTTATTATTACTATTAATATTATTACAACATATTTAAAAACATTTAAGCCTCGAAAATTAAGCATTTAAACTTTGCAATTCTGTTTGTTGCGAAACCAATGGAGATCTCTTATTGAATGCAAATCACATTATTTGCTTTGACTTCTGTGATTGGCTTATTAGCTCAGAGCAACTTAAATACAAAATCGTGTGTAACTGAAATATTGTCAAAAGACATGTCTGCAAAAGAGACTTTATTGTGTCGCTGAGCAACTTTGTCTAAGCTAAAAGCCAACTGAGCTAAACTCAGCCAACTGAGCCAACTGAGCTAAACAACTAAGCCTTAAACCAACTGAGCAAAAAATATTTTTTAAGTTTTTAAAAATTAGTTTGTTTCACTATATCAGTTCACAATGTTAGTTATCTTTTTGATTTCTCAACATTTAAAAAAGTAATTGCTAAGTTTGGCTAGCTTTTAGTTGTTAAATTTCTGGGAACTGCTGCATGCTACAACTGAAAGTTCAGTATGATTAGCTGTATTTGCAATTTATGTGCTGACATTTTACAACATAGTCAATGACCACATCATCCAGACTGTATTGGATTGGTCAAGAATGTGATATAGGGAGGCAACACAGCACTAAGTGACTGGATTTCCATGAGTTTCTTTACATGGAAGTTTAACCTCTTGCTTTATGTAGTCTAAAAGTTTTAATTTTATGTAATATATGTGTGATATGTTTGCTCTAAAGCAAAACTTCAGAAAAAGTAGTGAATCTACGATTTGCAAAGTCAGAAATTTTGGATCTAAGAAAGTAAAAAAATATGGAATTCTGACAATATTTGGACCACAATCATCCCTGTATCTGAGATTAAATTTTTCCTTTAATTCTGAAGCTGACATGCTTGCCTTTCTTTTTTAATGATACTATTTTCTAAGACCCCCAAAACAAGTTGCACTTTGTTGCTTTACGTTTTATTGATTAAATTCTAGAACAATAATCTTTATATTTAACTACATAATTTCTGACTATTTACAAAAGCATATTTATTTTCTTTTTCAGATTGCTGTTTTGAAAGGACATTTAGAACGAGAAAAACTTCGATGGCAGCAGTATCATCAGCGTTCCCTATCTACAAATGCCAATATTAATTACTTACATTCAGTCCTAAGTAGATCTCTACAGAATGTGGCTGATGACCCCCAAAAACTACTTCCTGAGGCTGAAAGACTTGATTTAACAACAGAAGTAGAACTGAGTGCATCTCCTGGGGTCAGCATATCCACTCCATCTAAATTATCTAGGTCAGCCTCTTATGCTCAAATGACATCAACACCTAAAGCCAAAAAGCGCCTTGATCTATCATCAAAATCATAACACATGTGATTTATATTATTATTTTATTATTCATGTGAAGAACAGCTGCAACTTCCCCCCCCCTTAGTACTGCTACTTTGTTTTAATGAGTATAAAGAAGACAGCAGTATTTTTATTGAAGAATAAGTGTTTGCACATCTGTTTGATTGAATTTTTAATGCATTATGATGTACAGATTTTACAAAGAGTCAATTATTATTTTTTTTTAAAGTTCACATTCATGCATTTTAAAAAAACACTGCATGCTTTTAAAATGTATTACTCAAGGGAGGATAAAAAAAATAAACCCCAAGAAAACATTTTACAGAAAGACAAAATATATGCTCAAAGAAAGTACGCCTTAGCATAAGAAATAAGACATTTGATAGAGTTTTGCCATAATGATCTCGGTTTGAGGCTACTTTGTTCATAACATTCCATTTTCTGAGATAATTGCTCCCAGCAAATGATTTAAATTCTTTTAGCCAAAATATACAGTTCTTCGTTTCTTTTTAAATTTTAATTTTGCATTTGGTCCCATATTATTATTCTTCAGTCATAGATGATACTAACAAACTTGATATTTTTTTATATAGTCAGATTAGTTCTTTGTGAAATCGCAAAGAAAAGAAAAAAATATTGTATGATACTTCAATGTCCTCCCTCAGACTAATCTAAATAAATATGTACATTTAATGAAAATAAGCATAATGGGAAAATAGCTAAATAATTGATAAAATGCTTCTGGTATAATGTTTTGAGATTTTTTTTAATCAATTTTTATAGGTGTCGATTCAATTTGATAAGTTGCAAGATTCTAGAAAAGTTTATTGACACCATGATAGTGAACAGTGTTAGTTTTGGTTGCCCTGTTTTTAAAAAAAATATCATTATTTAAATTATTTCAGTGAGATAATCTTACCTTTTAAATATCTTTTATTTAAGAAGCCTTAAATAGTATATTGCATTATTTAATTTATCACAATTTATAAAATGTATAGATATTTATATTTTTTAAATAAAAAATGACCTTGTTACATTAAAAATTTTGTGATGATACTAGAGTAAAAACTGTTAACTAAAACCCTAATGATATATTATATTAATAGAATATATTTGATTCCTTTGCTATTTATTCAAAAATTAATTTTAAACTCTTTGTGTTAGATTTCTGTCTAATGAAAGGAGGATATATACTTAATGTATTAATTTTGGAGTTTTAGATAAAATGATAATAATTTTGAATTATGCATGTCTAAGGCTGTATTTATGATATACATCTTGAAAAAAATCTAGAATTATACATTTATGCATTATTTATTCATAATAATTTCATAGATGCATAAATGGCTGATTTTTTTCTCTTTTATGAGAATAAAAATCCAGTCATTAAGTGATGCATAATATCTCTTGTGGCATTCCCCCCCCATTGGCAGTATTAATTATTATTATTATTATTATTATTATTATTATTATTTGCGTTATAATTTCTAGCTTATTTTTTAAATCTCAAAAGCAGATTTTAATCATTTTTAAAAATATTTAACTGAGTGATGGTGATTAGGAGCAAATTTGTGTTGTAAATGTGTGTTAAGTAGAATCATTCCATGTAATTACAAATTTTAGATAAAATTATTAAGTTTAAAACTCTTGTTGTTCTGAAAAAAATAATTTTAATTATTTATATAAACGAACTGTATTTTTCTTGTTTATATAAATCTGAGTTTCTTTATAACTGGAAAAAGATATTAAGAATGAAATAGTTTCGGTAGAAAGTGAATTTCTTAAAATGTATATACTACATATTCATATCACAAATGAAAACAGTGACTTTATTTGTAATATGAGCTTATATCACAAATGAAAAATATTTATTTTGCTAGGAAGTATGTGTAAGATTATGTTTATAACAGGGTACTAATTAAATATACTATATATTTTGAGGAAAGATTAAGAAGGGAGCAGGCAAAAACACGCCAAAGTTTTTTTTTTTTTTTTTTTTTAATGAAAATCCCCAAAATATTGATGATTTTTTAAAATTAATTTGATTAAACTTTTAATAGAAATATATTTTTGCTTTTCTCCCCTAAAATTCATTTAAATAATTTCAACTAGAAATATTAATTGTATTATGTTATTCACAAAATAAATCCAATTCAAATTAAGTGATCTCAGGTAGTATAATTGTTTTATTATAGTTTTAAAGCTAGTATATAGCTGTATTTGCTATTCTTATATTATTATGTTTGTGTTCTCTTATTTAATTTTGAAAACATAATTATTGCTGTTTTTATATCCTTGTGTTTGTTTTAATTTGATGCAAATATTTAAGTTTGCTGGATTTTAGTTTTGTTTTGCCACTATTTGCATCAAAGGTCCACTGCTGCACTGCAGTGTGCTGCCTTCTGATGATGAGATGCTAGTTATAAGAAATGATAGCCATATAAAATGCTGTCTTTAGAGTACAAAAAAACAGTTACATATAATTCTAACATGTTTTATTTTTATACAAACATATCAAATTTCACTGAATTATTGTTTTTAGACTAAAACTATCATAGTCTTTATTTGTATTTTCATTATTATTATATTATTATATAGTTCTTAGCCAGTAATGAGAGTGCCTTGTTGGAGGTTTGTGTATATAAATCATTCCATTCTGCTATGTGAAGTAGTGCCTTAGATTTCTTACTAATTGCTATGCAATTTAAGATAATAAATTATAATGAATTTAATTTTGTATGCATTCCAACAATAGTAATGAAATATATACTGTAGTTCATTTGCTACTAAGTCCCTAATTACCAGAGAAATTCTGGTACTTCCTTTGTAAAGTGGCATTGCAGATTTTGAGTAACATTTAAAATTTACCTGTTCCAGATAGGGTGATAAAGTTTGCTAATTTTGGCAACTAAGCACAGTGGCTTTAACTAGGAAGCACTGCAATGGATCTTTTTTCTTTTAGATATCTGGCTACTTAATCATACCATATGACTACCATAAAAATAGAATGTCATCCACTGATATTATTCAATTGCATTAGCATTTAGAATGCAAAACTGATGGTAAACTGAATTTGGGGTCTTTTAGTAGTTCTTGGTTTATTAAACTTAAACAACTAAGTATAATGGTTTAAACTTAGTTATCAAAGTTTTCAGTCTTAATTACCCAATCTGGATTAAAAATATTTCAAATGTCAGAAAAGATTTGGTTAAGTGGTGGTCACTTAAAGCAAGAAAGTACTAATATTTTTTCTTAAATATAATGTTTTTTTCCGAAAAGTTTTTTAATATGCTTTTTCACTTCTTAACCCAGAAATTAAACGTTTCTTAACCACATTTAGAACCCAGAAATTGAGACACAATAATTTAGTAGTAATCTTCAGGAAGAGAGGACTTCATTCATCTCATTACCAGTGATAAAGGTGATTTAAATATAATTGTGCGACTGAATATGCTAAAATGTTTCATATGTATGTTTTCATATTTTCATATGTATATATTTCAATGTATTTGCTTAATTTAACGGTAATAAACTTATTATATAATGTAAATTGTTTTTAATTCAATTTTACAGATATCTATTCCAAATAATATATTTTGTAAACACATATTAGCAGAAAATTTTCAGTTACTAAAAACTTTTAACTCTCTCACAGCCCCCTTTTCAAGTTTTTTTAAAGTATGAATTCCAATTCTGAGAGTTCCAAACAGTTAAAAAAACAGTTAGTGTTACTTAAGATTAAAATAAAGTAACAACTTCTGGGTTCTTATATAATAATATTCCTTTTTCTGAGCAATATTAATCAATAAAATTACTATTTGTGTATCAACAAAAATTTTTTTAAATGTGATATTTTGCATATCATTCATAAATTGAGTATTCAAATACGCACATATATTTTGTAAATATTATTTTTGTGATGTCTGTCATTCCATTTGTATTATGTATAAAAGTGATCGAACTCAAACTTTTTGTAATATGAAATTTTAATGAAACAAACAAAACAACATGTAATACATTTGTTAATGATTCAGCTTCTGAAAGTTTATTCAAGCATTATTTCAGTAAATTGTTAATAAATAATCTTGTCCACTTCATTTTTTTTTGTGACCTTCCACAATACTCTAATAATGATGATGTGATGAAGTTATTTTATTCATCCAAGGAACTTCTGATAATTCTTTTAATATGACTGCTTGCTTAGTATAAAATAACATTAATTTAGGAATCCTCCTGAAAAAGAAATTTCTTTAATTATGGATATTATTATGCCAGTTTTTTTTAATAAGCAAAGAAAGCAAAATCTGTGAACAAGAGGAATTCTAGAGAATGTATACTGTAGTTCAGTATTTTACAATATAATGATTTAAATTTCTGTTAAATACTAAATTTGATTGCTTTGTTGTTTGTGTGCAGTTTTTATTTGTTACTTTTAGGAAATTTGTTTTAGGGTTTATTTTGTTCATAATTGACTTTGTGACCACATTATTTTGTATATAAGTGTTTATTTTTTATATGGCATCATAGACCTTTCAATTCTGAATGCAGCAACATTTGAATAACAAAAATAGCTTGACTAGAACGTGAAATATAAGAGAAAATAGCTTTTATGGGCCTTTCAAACTCTGAGTAAAAATCATACAAAGGAGTAGAAATTGAAAACAAGAAACTCAGCTGTTGGTGTTCTACAGGCATTGTGTGTTGAAGGTGGCTACCTGGATCTGATGATAAAATAACTGGATCTCCATGCTGCATGATTGTAGACACCAGTGTAACCAGTGCTAACAGTACTAAAACCAATTTTGAAAGCTGATGTGGCTTGGCAAAAACCAGCTGTACAAGGCTTCATTTTGAATCTGCTGACTGAATGGACAGAAGATGTTAACGTATGAAAAACTGAATGTGCACATCAAATTTGCATCCTGTATATGTAAGTACACAGTCAGTATGGCTGATATTACAGATCCATGCATACTCAGATTTTAACTTTTGAAAGATATAATGGTTAGACGTCCAAAAGAATACTTTTTCAGAAGGATTGCATGCTTCTAATGAAGAAATACTGATTTTTGGAGTGGATGAAGCGAGTTGGTATATTATAAAAAATTACAATAACAAAAAAAAAAAAAAAAAAAAAAAAAATATCTGAAAGGTTTCAGATTTTAAATTACGTCCAAAGGGGCTTTTTTTTTAACATTTTGTGTGTTCCTTTATTTATTAAATATCACGTTCTTCGCACTTAAACCATAAAATTCAATTTAACAGCAATATCACAAAATAATTTTAAAATGAGCATATCTTTAGAATTTCTGATACACAGTCTCATGTGCTGGAAATAAAAATGCTTTTTCTGTACACAATGTTGCCATTGCTCGCTTTGAAATCCTTGAGTTTGTTAATCAAAAATTCATTAAAGTTTTACTAAATATGAAATCCACAATAAAACAAATTCCAAATTTGGGCATCCAGATGCCCATATTCACAAGAGAATTACATTATTCAAAATTGAATGGCTCTAGGTACTGTTGTTTTATCTCAATGCGAGAAACATACATACATTTATGCAGATTCTTCTTTATTTAATTTCTTTAAATATAATACAGGATGATATTATTTGGTGGCAACAATTTGAAAAATAAATAGACACAAAATGCCAAAAATGAAATCAATAGTTCTTCTGGACAAATTGTCCTTTTGGACTAATTTTGCCTTCTAGAATGCAATACATCATTTTAGCAGTATAGCCAAGGCTCCCAAGAAATTACTCGTATCAATTCCCTTGCTTATCTTCTAAGTGACAATTGTACGTGTAGTAAGTTCTTGTAGGAATATACAGAAGAAGGGTTAAAAGTACCCTTTATTAAAACTCTTTAGAATTTACAACTTAACTTGTCAACTTGACGCTAACACTACGCCTCCCTTGGGCGATAACTGAAATCACAGAACTAAACTAAAAATTCAAAGATGTTCACGAGTAGTAGAAATTAAGCTACAGGATTCAGAAAACTCATGTTACTTAAGACCATGTCAAAACTAGTGACAGCAAAGTAAACGCTGTTATAACAAGTACACCAGCAATAACTGCAAAGGTGGAAGCTCACGTTACAGAGGTGAAGGCAATAAGCTTAACTCTCTCTAACTTTCCTTCTAAAACTCGATATTTAAACTTTTTCTCCTCCATGTAGAATTTGCATTTCTTAATGCATGCTACCAAATTTAAATATTCTGGCATTGACAATTAAGGGAATGAATTCTTATAGGAAAGCCTAAAATTAAATAAAATTGCTTATTTAAAATAAATATAAATCCACACACCCTAATGACCATACACGCATGGACCTTATAAGAAATAGACTAACCCAAACGGGTTTTCTCCCTCGTCTGACGCGTTGCCGGCTGTGACCTTGATCACATCCGGAGGAGTAGGGACGACCTGCAGAAATTTAACATTGGTTGCCTATTGCAGCGTGTATAATTGTCAAGAAAAAGCTGGTTTTAGCGCCTCATTTCACAAGATAGAATTTCTACATATTTTTATTTTTGAAATTGAGATTAATTTTTAAAAATTTAGCATATTTATCAAGCATAATTAACGTTCCAAATAATTATAAAGCTACTGCATGCTTTCAGGGCTGGATATTTTTTTAGCTTTTCCTATGCTGTAAGGAAATTTGTAACTACTTCTTTTATAAAATAATAATTTAAATCTGAATTAACAGAAAATTTCAAACAAGCCATTTTCTCTTGCAATTTTTATGCTTTTTATTGGTGTAAATAAGTAAAAAATACTAAAATGTTTAAAAACGAATTTTTGAAAGTTTTGTTTAAAATTCTAAATTTTGCTCCTTTTTTAAAATTATAGATGAGTGTTTATAGCAGAATTTCTATAAAGGAATTTTATTTCAATTATATTTCATAATACATCATAGTGATAAGTATGTTTGACATCTTAATTTTTATACATTTAATTCTAATATTAAAATTGTATTTAACCGTAATAATTAATTTTGCTTGTATTTTATAGTGATTTTTTTTATTTATTTTTAGTTCTGCATAAGATTTTTTTTATTTACTATTAATTTAATTTATTAACCCAAAGCGGCGATAGCCTAGAAAAGCTGTTAGTTTCGAAGCGGCATTTTGCGCTGTTTTACTATAAGTGTCCGTGTCTACTTGCAAATTGTTGTTACCAAATATTATCGCCCTGTATTATATGTAAAGAAATTAAATAATGTAGAAATTTGCATGAATACATGTATGTTTCTTGCACTGTGACAAAAACGACGGTATCTAGAGCCATCAAATTTTGAATAATGTAATCCTCCACCCGAACATGGGCATCTGGACGGCCGAATTTCGAATTTGTTTTAATCTATTTCATATTTTGTAAAACTTTAACGAATGTTTGATTAACAAACTCACCGAGTTCAGAGCGAGCACTGTAAAGCGGAAATTGTAAAGATATGCTGTTTTCAAATGTATGTGGTTTACGGGCGAAGAACATGATATTCAATAAATATAGGTAACACACAAAACTTTAAAAAAAGGTTCCTTTTGGGCGTAATATAAAATCTGAGTGCTTCTAGATTTTATTTTATCTTTTTTTTTCCCTCCCCTCACTACGCTCAGAAAATTTTATGCTCCGAATTTTATGAATTATTAAAATAACTAAACCACTTTAATGTTAATAATTTAATGATCATATTATCAAATAAATATGATCGTTTTGTAATGTTATTATAGTTTGGAAAATACTGCTTGAAAATGTTCATTAAATTTTAAAAAAACTATCAGATCTTGTTTAATTTTACCTTATTTATTTCAAAGCATCCCGTACTATCAATCTTATTTAATTTTACTTTATTTTTACGCAAAATTAAGTTCATAAATTTTGTGCTTAGAGTTTTTACCGTTAAGTAAAGATGTTTGTACAAGAATTATGAGTGAAAAAAATGCGCAAAATGCAGTAAAAAGTGCTTTAATGAGATATATTAAATCCTATTTGGAAAAAACTGTGGCTTTCATAATCTCATCATTATACAACGTATCACATTTAATAATGAAAAAGAGTTATGTGATACAAACGCCATAGGTTTCAGTGTTAAAGTAAACCAAATCATCCTTACTCTTTCTTTCTGACATGTCGGTAACGCTCGCCCCGCCCACTGGGTTAGTCTATTTCTTATAAGGTCCATGCATACGCGTATCAAAGGACTTTTAACTGTGGCTGGTGTAGTTGATTCAGTAAAACATACTTATCAAGACTATCAATATAACACACCTTATACTTTTATGAAAGAAGGGGAAATTGCTTTATGTTCCTCAGTGGTGAAAATCATGAGATGTTTCATTGATCAGATTTAACTGAAAGCACAGAATTAAATGCTAATCAAATTCAAGCTGCAAGTCATTTAATAGAGGAATTTATGGATGTACTTTCAACTTCATCTAGTGACGTTAAATGCACCTGTGACACATCTGATCAACACAGGGACGCATTCTTTTGCAAAGCAAGAGGAAGGTGATGCAGAATGATGGACATTATTAAGCCTTTGTCTAGTCCTCAGGCATTTTCTATCATCTTAGTTAGGAAGAAAGTTGGCTCCATACAATCTTGTGTTGATTATAGACATCCAGATACATTGCAATAATACTTATTAAAAAAGACAGTTACCCTTTGCCTGGAATCAGTAAAACCTTAGAAACGAAACTCTAACAGGAAACCAATGCTGCCCCCTTTGGATCTGAAAAGCAGTTACTGGCAAATGAAAACAGATCTTAAGGATTGGGAGAAGACTGTATTTACTACTGGTCAAGGATTCTGGAAGTTTAAAGTGATGTCTTTTAGAATATACAATGTTCTAGCGACATTCGACTGCCTAATGGAGACAATTTTGAAAGATTGTCATATGTTAAGCCTGTCTTGTATATAACATTATTAAAAGTCAAACACACTTTTAAAGATCTACTAAGAAAGTGCTACAGCAGCTCAGAGAAGCTAAACTAAACCTCAGTCCTTCAAAATGTAAATTATTTCTGCAGTTCATCTTATTGAGATTTTAAGTCCATAGTATATTATACCTAGTCTATATTTTCTAAATCTTGAACTTGCCATTACTGTAGCTAGCCTACTATACATCCTAGATCTTGAATCCCTAATATAAAATGAACTCCAGCAGGGTTACTATGAAGCTAAACAGCTTCAAAGTAGCCTTACAGGAGATTATTTTAGA